GGGGAGAGGGATCCCCAGTGGGTAAGAAATATATTATTTTCATAATTTATTTATTTATATTTTCTTTTAATACGCTTACTAAAATATCACAAACAAATATGCAATAAAAAATATTCATTTCCTAAAATCTAACAATAAAATTTAAAAATCAACTAATTAGGTCATGATAGGGAAAAATATGGTAAAATTCTATAGGTTTCTCTCTCATGACTTTTCTGAGTCATGCAAAAAAAAAAAAGCATAAAATTTCCTCAAAAACTACAAGTTGAAGAATATTGTATTTGGCAACCGTGTATATCACCAAGTAGACTACTTTTACATGTGTGAGATCCTCGCAGCAGATTCTTAGATGAAGCTGTAATTTTTTTTGATGATTTTTGCCTTGACATTTGAATGTTTTTATATGTGATAACACAAGCTATTTGTACGTGATAAGGTCATTTAGTCCTAGAGGAGTATAGGAACTAAGGATTCATAAGTCCCTCAGATCTTCCTTACCCATAATGGTGTTTTTTAGAGCTCACATATTTCGAAAGGACAAAATTGTATGGGTACACCCATTGTTCGCTTCCTACGGGCCGTATCAATGGTCCCTTATCATTATGCAATGTTTTAAGCTCTTGTCGATGAAAATGTCAAACACTAAGGTTATCTCTATTGTATATGTTGGAAAGTTATCTTGAACCTATACCATCGTAAGTTCATCACAAGTTACTACATTTTGTTATTGTAAAAACCAATATTTCCTATAACAAAATATTTCCTGGCTTAATCCTTTACAAAAATAAAATATAATGGTTGATAATTTAGTGGTAAACTATGAAGATAAATGGAAAGATTTAGGACTGCACCTCTTAACAAGTACACTCATATAAAATCGTCCTGGAGATTGATAACTGGAAGAACTAGTTATTTCACTCTTGATGTCCGTCCATTAATTTCAGTTGATGATACAGCTAGCAAACCCAGAGTTTGTCCCCCATGGACTCATCTGTGATGCTTATGTAATGTACTGATGTTAGAGGAGAAGAGTACAAGATAGATCGTTGATCATACTCATGTGCCAAATGTACCAAGTGCAGTCGACCTGTTTTTATCGCTCACCGGTTCTTCCAGCTGGTCTGATGTAAACGATAAGCAGGAAGGAGCTTTAATTTCCTCTACCACACCCAAGCATGTACATATTTCCTACAAGTATCGTTTCTTTTTACATCCTAGTTTAGCATCACCCTGTGTTGTCTTTCATGGCCGCTCAACATTTGTGTCAGCCACTGGTTCCCACCTACAAGGTGAAAAGAACAACTCATTGCTGTCATGATGTGTGGACTGACAAGAAAACATGGTGATCTGACGACTGTGGGTTAATCTGTGGAAGGAGTAATCATATGCAAACATTGTTTTGGATTGTGCCTGGCAATCTGTCAACCTAATGGTGAGTGCAATCTCGGCTTCATACAGTGCTTTCATTGTACCTGAAATGGATGCATGGGATAGGACTTGGATGCAGTTGGAAGTATCTGTACATATGTTGTGTTTGTAGAAGACAACTCGATTTGTGTCGCTTTGTGCATCACTTTCATGAGAATTCAGTGGCTTGGCTGTATATGATTCACTAATCTTGCGTGCTATGTAGAGAAAAGAACCATAGAGAGAATAACTTCAAGGAACTAAGCGTCAGAGCAGCTGTTGGAAGCTAAGTTTACGTCCAGTGGTTTGCATAATGACATGGGAGAAATCAGATCTAGAACAAGAGAAAGCAACAACTCAAGGTTTGCTGTGTGCATGTCTTGGGATGTGCAGAGGGCCTTGGCATCACGTGGATTTCTAGATATCGATGATACCGCATGTGTACCTACAGTCAATCACATTCTGTGGATTTGTGAGTTTATGTAGAGTTACAGACAAATGAAACCCTACAGGTCTTCATCAACCTAGTTAGAGTTACAGACTAATTAACCTGACCTTTGTGCTCAACTGCAGCTTTTAGTTCAGCAGTCCAAATTTCTGTATTCTGCCACTGTTTTCATTGTTTCTTCCACATAAACACACTGTTGAAGCTGCTGTTCTAAGTTTACTTTTTATCACATTGTTTACGCATTTTAACCCAACAGCAGTAGATGCATCACCCATTTATTGTCATTCTGTTGGTGGGACAGCAGGATAAGAACTGATGCTAGGATGAGAATAATGCAACCTGGCAGGATGTCTACTCTTACGGACATGTAACCATGCAGGTCAGCTTCACACGAAGGTGGGGGAGCTCCCTTGGCTAAACATTTGGACTTCTTTGGGGTCCACAGCAATTCAATGTCAAAAGCTTTCTTTCTCCTGAGTTCAAGGATCCTTATCTAAAACATTGTGACTGCCAGGTTCCACCCACTACAATTATCCCATATATATATATATGTAATCTCTGGGGATTATTTCACATGATATCAGGCAATGACAAACTATGTAGATCACTTGAATCCTGAACATTAGTGGGAAAAAAAAGGGTGAAGGACATGTTATATTATCTTCTCAATGAACATGTTTGAAGTGGATCAAAGTGAGGACTCCAAACAGTGAACACCACATACATGAGAAGCTAAGGTTCTTTGATTGCTTCCTATGATTTCTCTTGCACCACCTACATAGGCCTCCTTGAGCTGACCTGCTTTAATGCTGGTGTGTTGATTCTGTACATTTATTTCTTCCTATAATGCAAGAAACATTGAGTGAGAAAGGTGAATGCTGGTGATGGAAGGGTGAAATAGACATCCACCAACAATTGCAGCTCAGCTAGAACAGGAGGGTGAGGATCGGGCAGATGACACTTTCATGGGGTACTGCAATGGCATTATCTTTCTGCTTTCCCCACGACAGGGACTGCCGTGGATGGAGGGCAAATGCTCTCTCTCTCTCTCTCTCTCTCTCTCTCTCTCTCTCTCTCTATATATATATATATATATATATATATATATATATATAGAGAGAGAGAGAGAGAGAGAGAGAGAGGATTTGAGTGACATCAAATTCCAAATTCTACCATACATTGTCAATGGACACATCACAACCACTGCCTCTTTTAAGCATATCTTTCACAGCCTTCCACCTCTCTCTCTACCCACCAAACTCTCCACCGTCCCATGTGCTGCCCCGTGTGGCAAGACAACTGCCCATGCTTGACATACAGTGGGAGCATTTATCCTCCTCTCCATATTGACTTGATCTTATTGCACCATTTGTAATGGCAGATTTCTGTCACACATACATATATGTATGTGTGTGTGTAACCAATCTTGTGTAACTTGTGAAACCAATCTTTCTACTTTAATCATACATCTGATGCCTGTTGCATGGATACTTAATTGAGATGCAAGACCACTGGGAGTTGTTTTTCCATGATGGCAACCAGCTGTTCTCCTTCATGCTAAAGAAATTGCGACACTATCTCCCATGCAAGTGTTCTTGGCCATTAAACTTGAGGTAGCAAAACTTGCGACAACACCAAACCTTCAACTTAGGGTTTCTACACCCAGTAATTAAGCTGCTCAATGCAGCAGCACTAAGAGTGGATGACAAAGTAGCTAAAAGCACTTAAATCATTGCACTTTTCTTTATCCTCTTTTTTCTTAAACAAACACGCAGGCATGCGGACCAACTTGTGACATTAATGAGGTTAAAGTAGTTGGGAAACAGCTTCTGAAGGATCTGTGTCTGAAACTTTCCCAGGGGAAGAGGGCAGTCGACCATTGGAGCAAACCTCATCAATCAGGATGGCACAGTACTGTTTTGAGCTACTAGTGTAGATCTTTGAATCATATATATCGACCTGAGGAAACAACTAATGGATTGCATTTGAGTCAAGAGTTGTGCTTGTTGTATATCAGTCTGCTAGCCTGGATGACATGATATTACACACAACCTATGCAAACTCTTAAGAGTTATCTATCTAAAGAATCAAGTGCCAAAGCCTTCTCCATGCTATATAAATTGTAACAATGTATATAACTTTATGCAAACTCTAGATACCCATGCACATTTCATTATACTCATGCATTTCCATTGTTTTATATCGATTTTTCATGGTGTAAAAATGATTTCTATGCTCTTAGTAATTCAAATCAAATCAAATCAAATCTTGCTTCATTCATACTCATCATCTGATATGTGAACTAGACGAGTGAACTACCACATAACTTCACCTGGGTGTGGTAAGTATCAAAGAATCAGAACGGACAACAAACAGTAGTCCTACGACATATGGAAGCGAGCAGCACAGCAATATCTACGAGGTGGGAGAGAGGGAAGCAGTCTTCCTACGCTACGTGGGCCTGTCTCTTGGCGGCATCCTAAACCCCATGCAGGAAGGGAGGTGAGCAGTAGTTCGTGAGGTCTCGTCCTCTTCGTGTCAGAGAAGGCGTACGAGGGGCAGCCAGCCATCGTCCCGTCGTCCTCTTACGTGGGTCGACCGGGGCCTCGAGACGAGGAGATGAGCACAGCAGAAGCGGAGGATGACAGGGTGAGCTGCCGGTGGGGGCGACGACAACGCCATCAGACGGCTCTTCTTCCCAGCCCTGTCGTGTAGTGAGCAGTAGAAGCAGTACCCGTGAACAGGGCGAGGAATAATTACGAGGGAGTCGGACAGGAGGTACGGGCTCCTCTTCTACTGTACTGCACGTCCTTTTATACGTCACGGGCGATCGATCATCCGAGAGGGTCGCAACATAATTTACGGAGCCAATTATTATGATGTGCCCAAATCTTGGCAGAACTGGAAGAAGATTGTTGACGCTAAAATGGACAGCGCTGTGGATCTGATGATGGGAGTAATAACACGGTGAGTTGGGGCCACTGCGGTAAATCCAAGAACGGAAGATATTTGCGCAGTGGCCAAGCGATAACTCTTTACCACCTCCTCCTGATAATATAACACCATCCCTAGCCATACAAAACGAGACTTTGCAGAAGAAGAACTAGTGGCTACTGCCTCTCTCTCTCTCTCTCTCTCTCTCTCTCTCTCTCTCTCTCTCTCTCTCTATCTCTCTCACACACACACACACACACACATCTTCCGGAACGTGGAACGCCTTCGCCTCCCCTTCCCCTTTGAACCACAGGAGAAGATAGCAGAGTCTTCTTGAAGAGCTCACGCCTTCCGTTGCTCTCCCGCGAAATGCAGGACTTCCATCCTTTACCCGGTCGCGTCTTCTGTGGCGGCGGAAGAGCTGGGGCCGAGCTACGCCGCCTCGTGGGATACCCTGGGGCGGCCGTGGTGCAGCAGCAGCCGGTGAAGTGCCCACGCTGCGAATCCACCAACACCAAGTTCTGCTACTACAACAACTACAACCTCTCGCAGCCCCGCCACTTCTGCAGGTCCTGCCGCCGCTACTGGACCAAGGGCGGCGTCCTCCGCAACATCCCCGTCGGCGGTGGCTGCCGCAAGTCCAAGCGCCCCTCCTCCTCTTCCTCCAAATCCTCCTCCAAGCCACCCCCCGCCGCGGCCGATAAGGAGCACCAACGCCGCCGCCTCCCTTCCTCCGCCTCCCGGTGTAGCAGCGAGAGTACCAACCTCACGGTCGCCACCACCTTCGCGGCGCCGTTCCCCGGTCAGGCGCTCCTCAACTCCCAGATCTCCATCTCCAACCCCAACCCTCCGTTCGAATCACCCTTACAAGTGGATCCTCCTCTCTGTCCGGCGCCGGAGATCTTCCCGGATCCTGCCGCGGGTACCGTCACGGCAGCCCCGGCGGAAGTGATCAGGCTGGAATTCATAGGTCAAACGGCCACCTCGGCTCCCAGGTCGATCAGCGGCGGCGGCGGGCTCGCCGCGCTAGATTGGTCCGGGCCGGTGGACCCCACGCTCTTCGATCTCACCACCACCGTCGATCCTACGGCGTACTGGAATCAGAGCCATTGGGCGGACGCCGACCCCACCATCTATCTGCCTTAGTCCCTTCATCAACGGAATCAACTTCGCTGCCCGAATCTTAATGCACATATATTTCTTTTCTCTCTTTTTTTTTTTATTATTCTTGTGATGATGTTTTTTTTTGTTTTTGGGGGGTTTGAATGTTTAAATTGAGCCTTTGGTTGATAAAACGACGGCTTTCGGCTGCAACAATGGCAAGAGATATTTATGGAAGGAGGAAATGTAAGGGTGTGATTTTTTTTATGTATGCAAATGCTTAATATATATGTATTCCAATATTGGTTTGGGTGTTATTTTTAAGGAAAAGTTACATAAATATCTAAAAAGTGAGTGAGTTTTTATATATATATATATATTATTTTTAATTATAAAAAAATATTATTACGATTAATCCCCATCTTATAGTTATACAGATGCTTAAATTTTTTTATACTTAAAATATTAGTTTAATAATAATGCAATACTTATCGATGATTTAAAATCATATCCGACATATTTAAACATATAGAATAGTAATTTAGTTATAAGATAACAAATTTACTAATTAAAGATTAAGGGGTTATGATAGTTTAATATATCCATTTACCAGTTTGATCGATAAAAATTTTGTTAAAATTAAAATCTATTCTCACCATTTACTCTTTATACAATGGAAATAAAAAATCACGAGTTTGATGGTGATGGACGAGACTCACTTAGAATAATTCTCTTTTAAGTGATGTATGAGGCTCACTTAGAACAGATAGGCTCATAAATTTTTGAATGTGATGACTACAAAGACCTTGGAATATAATCGCAAGAGATCAAAACATGCATGCCTTCATCGTTTACCCTTAATCAACTAGTTAACCTAATCATACATAAATGAGTCATGTAGATCCAAATCAAATTTTTATAGGAGTTTTTGGATGCTTAGTGACTTTTGTTTACAAAGGTCTTGTGAAAAGACTTTAGTGCGTGCAATAAGTCTTTTTCCCCACAAAACGGTGGATATTTTATTTATATTTGCATCGGATTAATGGATTGAAAATAACAAGAGATTTTCTTTTAAATACAAGATATGAAAGATCGATATTATTTTATTTGGCCATTTCAATATCAAACCACAAACTGACCTTTCACATGATATAAGCAATCTTCCATGAAAGAAACACAAGCACAGGTATCGGATGGCTAACCAGGAAATCATACAACAGTAGTTGTGTACTTAACCCACTATAGTTTAACTTCCTGTCTTCCTCTTACTGGAAAAGGATACATAAAGGAACTTCGTAGAAACACAAGGAACGTTGACACAGATGACAACTGACAGGCTGAAGGATTATGAGTTAATGTAAAGATCAATGCAATTGCAAATTTCACTTTCTATAAGAAAAGTGAACACAAATGAGAGAGATCAGCAACTCATTGAACACAAAAACACATGCAAGCTCTGAGACCCTAATTCATATTACAAGTGACGAGCTTGAACCATACGCAACTCTCACAAAGGATTGTGTAAATGCAAATGCAAAATATGATATTTTATTAAGAACAAACAAATATTACCTATATCTCTTGTTACATATAATTAATCCAAAATGCCAATGCCACAACCTATTGAGCTTCTGTAGAATCAATACACATGCTGGAGAGAAATTGGTAAAGGAAAAAACAACAAAAAAAGGTAAAGATTGATTGAACATTGAGGTATAAAGTGTCAGTTAGGTATAAGGGAACAAACTCGAAGAAAGAGCCTAATAGATATATCTTCAAAATTTACAGCAAATAAGACTCATCCTCCATCGTCGCGGCTTCCTTGCTTTGGCCATTTTCACTGGACTAGTATTCCACTCTGTTTGTAAACTACATTTCGTAAAAGAAAGTTATTAATATCTTGAAATTATTAGAAAGGATACAACAGCAACAACAAAACTGTTGTTCTTTGTATATATGTTGTTTTTTAACTATCCTATAATACATTGCTGATCTAATAACTATTTTACAAAATTTTTCATTTAATTTCACCCAATATTAGAAAAATGTTAGAAAAGGATCATACACTAAATTGAGAACTGATAATAGGCAAAATAACCTAATCTCCTGGAGTTATCCGGATATCTTGCAAAAATTATTTTGTTTAGTGATTAAGGACAAGTTGTAAGAACAAAAATCTCGCGAGGGTTCAAAGCTTCAAGATCTGCATCAAAAAAATGATGGGAACTATTTTATATACACACTCCATAGCTTCCACTTAAGCCCAAATCCCATGAAATAGTTTCTCCCAGGACTTCAAATCATCTTTAATTTCCTCCTAGGCTTCCATTACACCAGATAGCAGTCCTACATCTGAAAGATTGCTAAAGGTCCTTTCAGCTTGTTTTTCTCTTAGGGAAGATTTTACACAAGATTAGATACCCTAAGCTTTTTAGAGGGCGCAATTTTGCTGATATTTGTTTTCTCCGATTAAAAATGGAGAGTTAGTGATGTCTACTTCTAGCTACCAAAGATTTCTCATCCAATGGGGTTAGAACCAAATTTTCAACTAATGTAGCTATTCAAAAGCAATAAATAGCACCAGATGATAAGAAATATTAAATTTAGTTGTAAAAAGAAATCACATGAAAGTCATTTACTGAAGCAGAGGCATTTATTAGATTAATACTGTAGGTGCTCTAGTGCAGACTAGAAGTTAATCAAGTATATTAGCTAAAAGGACACAAATTTTAGCTGACACAGATCATCAAGTCAACAAGTATCAAAGGCATGATAACTAATCTTGGAGCAGTCGAGCATATTAAGTACAAAATAATGTATCGTTGGCAATCCAAAAGTATAAATGTTGGCCAACGTGTGTGCAATATGTTGTAGGAACAAAATATGCAGCAATACATATATTGTATTTGCATATTACAACTAGCATTTTCATGATGAATGTTTCTGTGGGAAGTCAAAACAGCCAGGAATTAGATAGCATAGATGTTTTATTAACAAAATTACCAATGACGTATTAGTCTAGATGGGAAACTTGTATGTTTATAATTTTTATCAGTAACATCCAGATAAGATATCATCCACATATTTTCTTCAAATGGTTTCACCCATCTTAGGGCATTTTACAAGCTTTAACAAAAATTTATCAATTAATACCAACTATCAGCAAAAAAGTTGTTTCAGAAAGAAATTGTCCTCCAGACAGGTGCACACTAACCCTACTGCTACTAATGATGTATGATTCTCAATGGTCAATTAAAAGAGAAAATTTTTGGATTCTTGAGATATCAGCCTTCCATTTTTAATTTCTCCAACGGCATGGAATGCATGTGTGAGCAAACATAGGATAAAGCCCTTTGTTTCATCCCATGATAAACACCCAAATAAAATATCAAGAAGAATATCACTCTTTATGTGGGGAATATTCATTCATAGCAAATGGGGTACAGCACTGGAAGATAATGACCCACATATCTCGAACTAAAACCAGACCATCCAAAAGACTAAGGTTTATTGTAACTTAGCTTCTCCACTATTGGAGATAAATGATTTAAACATAATAAATACCTCCAATATCTTCCTCATTTAAACATCTAATGAAAACAATTTCTATATAAACCACAAGTGAAAGGAAAAGTCACCAAGTTTTAGATGTTGAACAAGAAACTTTCTTTTGCTAACTTTTCTACAAACTATGCCAATACGACTACAAGTGTGATTGGAGAGAGCATAATCAGTATTTATTTTTCAACTTTACTATTTATTGGAAGTCTATATTTCTTCCCAGATGTTCATATTAAACAATTGCATAAATGGAGTCTCATTAAACCACAATGATAATTTCTTCCCAGTATTTATTTTTCAACTTTACTTTGCTATAAAAGCATAAATAGCAACTACTGTGAATTTTTGTCAACCAAGTAACGAGAATATAATTTAAACTGCACAAGGTACTGCATTAATTCAAATATCCTCCCTAAGCATACAACATATTCAATAAATGATGATGAACAAAATGATGCAGGTAATCATAGCCACATAATGTAAAAGCTATTGATTATAAATATTCATCACTTATCAGGAAACATTTAATTACTTACAAGCTAATCGTTCTATGCATATGGCAAGTTCAAAAGATATTTCAAAGTGCCAATGGTGGAAGTTATCTTACATTGGGAAGGCAAAGGAGCGAGTACTGGTGGTGCTACTATCAGATCGCATAGAAATGTTGCCAGAGTATGCAATATGCCCTGAAGATGCTTTTGGGCCAGAAAAGTTTAGATCCCCATGAGTACTGTGATATAATAAACTTTGTGCTGGAGCTGTTGTAGCATCAGGAACTGTCATGTCAGAGACAGAACGGTTTTGAACTTGTACGAACTCTTGACTATCTCTATCTCCTCTTCTATTCTCCTTGACAGTTGTTGCTGCACCAGATTCAAATGTAGGATCAGTGACTCTAACATCCATCTCACTATTAGCAGGATTTCCCTCGGCTGCACTGTGGTTGGACACTGTTACATCAGAAATCATGTGTGTGGTAATAGAGCACCCATCTCCCATAATCTTTGACATATCACTAGTAGAATTTTCTTTTACCACATTGCTTTTATCAGGCTCAACATCACTAAATGGCAAAGTTGTCATTGTGGAGCATGTGTCTTCGATTTTATTCTGTCATTGCAAAATATCATAATATTCTAGTTAGGTTGATCATATTCATATATCTATTGTAATGCACCACATATTGGAAGTAATGACCCATTTGGAACCTAGAAAACCAACCAAAAAGCATAAAATGAACAGTCATGAGAAAGAAGTCCCAATTATAACATTGACCACACGCGAGGTAAGAAGAAAAGTGTATTGTTATAGGGCTTTAGACTTCAACTTTCAAGTAATAAACTAAAATCTTGAACTATTACCTGAAATTATATAATTATAGTTCTGTAGACCTCAACTTTAGTGTTGACACCAGTAACCATTAAATGAAACATCACATGCCAGTTCAATAATTCTAAATAACTAATAGGTTATAAATCTTTTACCCTCAGATCAACATTAGACTCAATGTAGAGTAAAAATTAATAAGCACTATGTTAACACAATTTTCTTCTATTTTTTAAACATAATTTTTGTCCATAAGATGCATAATCCTTAAGTTTTTTCCTCTGCAGCCAGGAAGTCAATTGTCCATCTACAAACTGCATATAGACGAACTCTTTTAAGACAAAAAAAGAAAAAAATTTGTTGCTCGAGTACCTGCTCAATGTTCGCTTCATCAATACAGTGTCTCCGATCACTACTGAAGTCAAAACTTGTTGGAACTACATGATTGTGATCTGTCTCGGACTCTCCTGCTGAGAGCAATAATTCTGAACTCAACTTCAGAACGGAACTATTACTTTTAACTTGGTCAACTGTGTTCGGTTTCTCTCCAGCTACAGATAAGCTCCAAGAATAGTTTTGTTCCTCAACAACCTTATCAACTGCTGAGATGAACTTTGAATCTTGTGTGGCGGGTGCAGCATTATCTGTCATTTGTCCATTCACATCACTGTTCATATTTATCATTGAAAAAGACATCTCACTGACCTCTTTATTCTCTAACAGAACTTTCTCAAGAGAGGATGAACCTTCCTCTATGCACATGTCTTTCACAACTGAGCATGTGTCATCTTTGGAGAAAATTATTATCTCAATGGGTTTAACTTTTGTAACAGATTTTTCTGGGTATAATTTTTCTTCTTCTTCAACTGATCCAGTACTGCCTGCTGGATTACGAAGCAAAGCATCTGTAAATTCGGGATCGAACTGATTTCTATTAATTGAAGCTTCATTATCCATGAAACTAGTTGGAGTCGACTATATCTTCAGGCTCAATTTTACATAGAGTTGCTTTAAGATCATCTGTCACTTCACAAGTAGCCTCACTGTCTGGCTTCAACAAATGAAACTCATTGTCATGGTGTCTCATGACATTGATCAGAAGCACATGTTCTGCAGAAGTATACGAATGGGGTGATTCAACATCTGAGAAGCAAGCACAGAATTCAAGTAGTAGACATAAAGACAAAAGTTATTTGAGGCAAACAAGAAAGAGAGAAAGAGAGAGATGCAGAGAAAGAATCATAAGGATGCAAGTCTCTGCATGATTATCAGTTTTATGCAACATAAGAACAAGTACCGAGAAAGAAGCTACTGACTTCAAAAAAGCTAACAGAATCTAGAAACCATTAACTACAGAGCTCAATATTGCATTTTACCCATCTTTTCCCATAGGCAAACCTTTTAACAGTATTTCCTATTTATTTAAGTAGATAAGGATGCGATAAGCAACTTTGAGCCTAGAAAATTATTTTAATTTATTAGCAACAAATTAATGATTGCATCCTTGAATCAGAGAGGATCAAGGATAAAAAATGTAAGCAACAGAGATAACATATCATATTGAAAAGCTTGTTGTCCTTCTTCAAAAGGCTGGTATAAAAAGATAAGCACCTTTATTCAAGGTTTGACGTACTAAAGCATACCGCTCGATACGGAGAGTACATACCAATCCGATAGAGGACCGGTACAGATGATACATCTGTACACTGTAGTGTATCATATGTCAGTACACTCGGTACAGCTCGGTACGTACCATACCGACAGCTGGTTGGTACACTGGTACGGATCGGTAATGCGAACCATGCCTTTATGTATGATATCCTGTGATTCCAAAGAGCAAAGACATCTAGGAAATACTTCATGCTCAAGCTATAGGGAAATAAGAACATGAAAAAAGAACATGATTAATAAAATTCCACACAACTCTGCAAAACTGCATATGTATAAGATTCAGTAACTAGACATCTGAAGTTGATGATATAGGTATATAGATTAAAGATTTGTGTGAGATGTTGATATTGCATTAAGGGAGAATTCTTTTTAGGAGGATTTGTGTGAGAGCACCAACCACAGTACCAAACATACTATAAACCTGAAGAGTTGACTATTCTTAATAAAAAATCGGCTTCCACAATGAACAACAAAGCATCAAATTTGAATCTTTCACATAAAACAGTTCTATTAAAAGCTTACAGGCCTTAGATGCTGTTTTCTAATAATATTAAATCCATGTATTGACCACAGGTCCGATAATAAGAACCTCATCGGAAAGACTTGACAAATTCTCCCACAAATTCACCACTAAACAAGATATATATGACCAGCATAAAACTAGTGACCAATCAATTCAAGAAAAGTATATCATTTCTGAACTCAGAGCAGACGAAAGCAACAAACATTAAAAAAACAAAAAGCTAAAAGTAATCTCTCTTTTGTTTTCGTTTACTGCCAGATGCTTTGACTTTCATCAAGTTTTTTCTCCTAAACCTCAAAGAACCAAAACTTACGAAATCCCAATATCAAAAGATCCACAAAGATCTACAACCATGTCCAGAAGCCCTCAGATCCACAAAGGAAATAGAAGCTCTTAGAGGAACACAAAAGTAGGAAGATCATAGGAGAAAGTACCTCAACATTTCATGCCTCTTCTGCTTCCTCCAGAACGAAAGATCAGAGTTTCTAGAGATATCAGCCAAAAGAGGATCCAAGAGGTGGTAACCAGGCATTAAACCAACATATACATGAGCAACTAATCCAATCCCAGATACCGAGCCCTTGAATCTCTCAAAAGTGGAAGCAAAAAAAAGGCTTTTGTCGTGTTTATGCAAGCAGCAGACAAATGGAGCTGGAGGTGGTGGTGGTGGGAGGATGGCATTTGATTAATCCTTTTGGATGGTGGCTATTTGTCATCCCTTTTAAAGTCAAAGGAGAGAGTGATAGATTATGAGAGAGAGAGAGAGAGAGAGAGAGCGAGAGAGAGTGATTAACGAGATGGGTAGATTAATATATGTATATAACAGCAACAAAACAAATTTTGCCCGAATTCGAATGAGACGCAGAGGTAAGGTTAGGGTTATCAATATAAAATCATTTAAAAGAAAACCAAACAAATTCGGTAAAATAATTGGGGAAAAAGACCCGGAAGAAAGGGTACATGAAGGAACTCAACTTCGGATTTAAAGATTAGATCTCAGGAGCGAGATTTGGGGAGATTTTTGGTTCAGTTTAAAATAGAATTTAGACCAAGATCTTTCTGCCCCGTTGCAGAATTGATCAAAGAGAAATCTTATACTCACTCTACCTCCAGAAAAATCCCAGATGGAACAGGAAAAGAGAAGTAAAATTTTCTGATTAGTTTTCCACTCCAAGATCAAAGATTTACTCTCGTCACTGATCCAACCATGAATATCTTCCAAGAAACGAAAAAAATTAGCTCGGCCTACAGAAATAAATATCACACGAAAAACCAAATTCTAGACTTTGGTAGAGAAGAAAACCAATGGGACAAGCTACGAAACCTATATACTGACAAGCTATGATTTGCTATCCTACCTTCTTGTTGAGGTGCGAGGAACAAATCCCTAATCGTCAGATGCAAGCATGCGGTCGAGTAAAAGGATAAACGAACGAAAAGCTTCATTCTTTTTCTTATATATATATATATTTATATATATATATATAATAGTGGTGATTTGTATTAATTAAGTGGTCCGCCGCTATGCGCCAGGTTACGGATCCAATGTCTCGAACAGCGGAAGCACCCAAAAAGTCATCTTTTGACTGGACAGAAATGTGGACCCCAGTTTTCACTGAGGAATAGGAAGGATGACTATGGTGTCCAGTGCGACGGCCGTGACACACGAGCCTACAATTAATGACCTGTCCGGAATAATAGGCCCCTCACGTCAAGTCGACTTATGCATCCTGTCCAAGGTAAATTGTAAATCTTCACTTGCAATTTCACGAAAACACCGAATGGGACCATGGTGATTGCTTCTTGGATCACATTACGCGAGAGTGACTCGGAAGTGACGCAACACATGCTCTCATTCTTATGATTAATCACCACCCAACATAAATAAATCCTCATTTTGATTGAAAGCTAAAAAAGCTCATAACTCTGTAAACTTATCTCCCTCAAAAGTTAGGACTCTCTCTCTCTCTCTCTCTCTCTCTCTCTCTCTCTCTCTGCATAATGTATGGATAAAAAGAGATGATCGCTGAGCACCAAAGCAAGCACTCATGAAAGCATGCCACATTCCATGATTCTTGTGAAGACAACTGCAACATCACATACTACTCAACTCCACAAGTCAAACCTAAACTTTTAACTATTTAATGAGCTAATGCATTCAATTTAATGTACACATATGATGGATTCGATAGATGACAGATTTGTTACGAACTAAAGTGGTGCCTTCTTCATATTTCTGACACAAGAGGCGATTACTTTGACTGGAAAACCATGTGCCTGATGAGTTTAATAAGTCTGAAGTCAGGTTTGTCTTGATTAAGATCATAACACAAGCACTAATCATGTTGTCCACAAGTCCCCAATCATATGACATAATCAGGTTTTAAGTCTACGCTGCTACACAAAATCCAAAGAATGAGAATTCCCAAGAGACCAGAGAGTTCTGTCCTGCTCTTCTTACTAATAAAATAATCTAAGGATCCAATCTGTGTCACTCTTGTGATTATTTTATGTCTTCTGATGGATTGCTTGCACCCCACTGAACTAAATATTTTGGCATTTGTTCCTCTCTGGACCAGCTGCCATGAAAGTGCCAAAGAGGGCAGATGAAGCTAAGGAATTCAGTGAGTTGCAGTTTACTATCTTGAGTGACATCAAAATACAAGAGGAGAGACCTACGAATTTAGTTTTTGACCTCCTATTATGAGATTATATCAACTACAAGTTTTAACCCGCTACAGTTCTGATGTGAGTGACACCCAACTGGATTTTAAGCCTTTTCAGACGCAGATACCTCACCATCAATTGATTCCAACTACAACCATCTGTTTGTGTTATCATTGTTTGAGGAGGGAAAGTCTGCATGCTGTACTTTGACTAAAAAGTGGGTCAGCAAGTAACGGCTATGAGTTACAAGAATGGCTTACACTCTGTTCTAGAAGCTGTTCCTCTCCCCTCATCCTTCCTGGTCAAGGTGGTCTCAGCTTATATTCATTGTGTGTATGTGATGATAAAAATGCTCTTGGCCACAATTTTGGGACTTACCTGAGAAAAAAATTGATGCTGATTAGAACATTTAGGGTATGAGACTAAATAATATATTTTAAGGCAAAACATTATGTAGATATATCATCTTCAAAAGGTAGAAAGCTAATTAACCACCACCTTCATGGAAACCAAAGTTAACAAAAAGAATGGAAATGTGAATACAATGCATAAACCGATGGACGTGAACATATTCTTGCTTGCTGTTACGGACTTAGCTGGTTTTGCCTAAGTCGTGCGGCACCCTTGCGTGTTCGTCCGCAAAGGTCAACCTCCCATGGTCCCTTAGGACCCACAAAAGAGAGAACGGGTTAGAGAAAATGTCTCATTCGAGATCCACAAGCAAACATTTTCGGAAACACTTCATAGACAATGCAAATTACAAACAGACTTTACAAGCTTTGAACAGTTGCACAACAAAGAGTTAAAATGGTCCATTATAGACCGAAAATCTCTCACAAGTGTCCACATGACACAACCTTTATTTACAAGCCTAAAGCAGCCACCAACCCTACTAAAATGGGACCATTAAGCCTTCGACCGTCCCTCTACATGCTGTACAAAGCATGAACATACCAAAAGACACGGACATACATAAGCATTACATCAAACATCCTGTTTCGAAGTTTGGCCGTGACATTCTCCCCCACTTATTCCTTCGACGTCCTCGTCGAAGCCTTTGCCGACACTGCAACTCCTTGCCTTTGCTGAGTCTTCAATCTTCTACTCCAGCAGCAATGCGCCTCCTGGCTCCCAACTGCTCTCCGCTGTTGTTTTGGAGTAGTCGAACCTTTGATCCTCCGTGCTGTTTCAACTCGCCAATGACTCTGACTCTAGTGTGGGGTTGACTGAGTTGTGTTGATCCCTGTTGGTTCCTGCGGATCCTCCAGATGAAGGAAAAGACCATCCTTACTACGCCAGTCTCTCAAATGCCTCATGCTGCTTGAACTGGATGGATACTTGTTGGAGCTTTAACGAGCATCATCTCACAAACTTCTGAAGTTTTGGGTCCTTCCTCCACAAATTTGTCCATTGACTCTTCTTTAACTTAGTTGTCACTTCCAAGTAGGTTCGCATCACTTCCGCTTTCGATTGGCATTTCGTTGGGAAATGAAGCGGACAATCTACTCTCAGTAGCACTGATCACCGTTGGTGAGGATTTGACAACTATTGTCTTCCATTATCTTCGAAGGGTTTTTGAACTTGTGTAGAGCTCCTCTGCTGGATAGATAAGAGAATTGGGGTACTCGATTTCGCCCATTCTCTTAAGGGTTGAGAAGGCAAAGGTTACTTGACTTCGCCCGCCTCCTCGAGGTTGTACTCCATGCATCGAGCTGGTTACTGGTCTTCACCTGCTCTTTGCTCACACTTCTGAAGCACTTGAAGTGTTTGCACTCCTTGCGTTGAGTTAGCTACTATGATTCACCTTCTCAATGCCATCGAACTTCTGGAATGCAAGAAGTTTTCATCCCAACTTGGAGTAATTCTCTAATAGATTTGGTCGCCTCTGGGATTGTACCGTCTTCTCCATCAACCCTGCCGCCTACTCCACTGAGTAGCAAAGGTACAACACCGCGTACCGCCTGCTTCGTTCCTTGGTCATGCACTCTTGCATGACCCGAAGTCCTTCACTTTCGGCTATCTTGATGAGAAGCTCGTTGACACCGGTCTTACGAAGTTCTTTGGCCTCTGCCCTTCAACCTTGTCTTAGTACTTGGAGTTTGCCTCTGCATGCTCCACCTCCTCGGCCCCTTTCACGACCAAGCACTCTCCCTCCATGAGAGCAAGGGATTAATGACTTTCACGGAAGTCTTGCCTCTGCGGTACCATGGCGCTGCTATGCCCATGGCCCTACTATCCGTCGCCTCACATCTGTATTCCTTTTTATCACAATCAGTAGATATGTCTCTATAGCACTCCTCCGAGTCCACCTCCATTCTAACTGATGCTTGATTTTGGGTAGCTAAATCCCTCTGGACTCATCGTCGCTTCCTTGCCCCTTTCGACCCCCTACTTCGACACATCCGTGCTCTCCAAGCAGCTCCCTTTGGTCGATGGAAAGACAGATTGCAACTCCCATGCATGGCCTCTGCCATCACGTTGTAGGGTTTGCACCGATTCTGTTCTCCTTAGCTTCCTTGGTAGCAATGTTCGCTTATTCGACCTTGTCCTTTGACTTGTCGGGCTCCCTTAAGCGAATATGAGCTCTGGAGCAGTCCAACTCTCTAGCTGCTTCGATCATACCTCTGTATGATCAAGTCCCTCCCATGGGACTCACTGGTACTTGCATTTGAACTTTTCCCTTGGTGGAACACAGCCCCCATATGTTGATAACCAAGGCTTTCATCCGATGCAAAATTCGATGCACGCACGAAAGACCCGCCTCTGCGGTACCATGGTCTTCACTCCTTGAATACATAGCCCTTCTTGTCGTCATGTTGTTCACCGAAGTGGAGCTTCCAGTAGCTCCCGATCATACCTTCGTATGATCTAGTCCCTCACGGGACTCATTGGTACTTGCATTCGAACTTTTCCCCTAGTGGAATACAACCCCCATATACTGATAACCAAGGCTTTCATCCGAAGCAAAATTCGATGCACGCACGGAAGACCTGCCTCTGCGGTGCCATGGCCTTCACTACTTAAATCCATAGCCCTTCTTGTCGTCGTGTTGTTCACCGAAGTGGAGCTTCTAGTAGCTCCTGATCATACCTTCGTATGATCTAGTCCCTCACGGGACTGTGTCGTGTGTATCACATTGCCACGAACTGTTCCACCACGATCCGCTGCATCATGTCGCCTTCTCGTGACATCTCCATTGCATTCTGATCCTTGTGGGATGAACTCGAATTGTGATCCCTCCATGTGTGGCCTCTGCCAATACATCGCAGGGTATCTTCTACCTTTGATTTTGTTCGCTCCTTTGGCAATTGACCTTCATCCACCCACTCTTGGGTCACACCTAGATGAAGCGCCGCTCTAGGACAGTCCGTCGCCTAGTAGTTCCCAAAGTCCCTCGACTTCGCTGCAATTAGTGCACCATTGTTTGGATCCTGGGCCTCTGCCCCTACCAGCACAATCTTCGCTGTGCATCACTTCCTTCATGGCAACTTGAATGACAACACTGTGGCATATTCTTCAAGAGTACCCGCCTCTGAGTCCTCTTGCCCTGTACTAAGGCCTTCTGAACCCAACTTCGCCTCCGCAAATTGAGTCGCCTTAGTTCCTCCATCAAATGCTCCTCCGAGATAAGGTGCATGTGCCCAGAAGCTCCCTTCGTCTTTGACACCATGCAAGATGAGTCCGCTCCATCAGAATGAATGACCCATCTTCTATGCTGGCTCCCTTCATGCGGCTTGGGTACTTCGCCAAGTTACACCCAAGTTACTCTGCTCCTCGTTTTTGCATTGAGTTGATGGTGGCCCTTGCTCGCACTCACCATTCCACGGGTCAGCCCTCTCTTGGGTCCGATCTTCATATCGATTCCAAGTGTGCCTTCATTTGTGTTGCTTTGGGTCGCTCCCCCACTTGATCTCACAATGCATCCACCAATGCATTCTCTCAAGCGAGAGCATGCGACGACTCCTCGCCGCTTACTCGGTCCATTGAGCTTCGTGGAGTTATTTTTTGTTGAGGTACTTCTCCTCAACATGTGAGGTCCATCCTACATGATTCTCCCTCTAGAGAGGCAGGACTTATCCTTCCTGGATAATTGTCCCATTGGAGCAACATCTCTCTTCGTTTCGGAGACCACCATCCCCTTGGACTACTCCGATTTGCTGAACAAACTGTGCATTGTTCTGCCTCCTGCAAACGCACTTGCTAGATTGCGACTCCACGTCAATACAGCCCCCGCTGCACCATTTAAGGCCTAGCAACATGCTGAACTCATTGCACACTTCAACCTCATACGGACGTATCCTTCACATGCCGAAGAGAAAGTTTAAATGCTCCATAGTGCCAAGTTTCGATTGCCTTGGGATGGCCGCGAATATTCTATCGTCTGCATACAAGCCTATCTATGAGTACCAAATTCTTTGAGTTAGCAATTACCCTCACCTCTGTGAGCTTTGCACAACTCTTTCGGTCGTTGAGGAACTCATTCCACCTTGTATGGTCTCATCCTTTACCAAGCGCCTCGCTTGCCTTGAGCACCATCAAGTATAGTTGTCAACGTTGAGTCGTAGCTCAAACTCAGCCATCCCACCCTTTGTGCGCTCGACATTCTTCCAAGCTTGCCTGTTCTCGTGGTGCCTCTTGCGCGAAGGGTTAGCCATTCCTCTGAATTCCAATCTTAGATGCCCGCTCCTTCGAGCGACTCTTTTCCCTACATCTCCATGCTCATTTTTCCCCAAACGGTCGCGCGTGTGCTGATTGTCCTCAACACAGCCCCGCTAGATCCCCCACGTTTGCATGCTAAGTGTTTCTATGAGTGCTTCTCCCACTTTGATACCATCTGTCACGGACTTAGCTGGTTTTGCCTAAGTCGTACGACACCCTTGTGTGTCCGTCCGCAAAGGGTAGCCTCCTATGGTCCCTTAGGACCCACAAAAGAGAGAACGGGTTAGAGAAAACACCTCATTCGGGATCCACAAGCAAACATTTCCGGAAACACTTCATAGCCAATGCAAATTACAAACAGACTTTACAAGCTCTGAACAGTTGCACAACAAATGGTTAAAATGGTCCATTACAGACCGAAAATCTCTCACAAGTGTCCACATGACACAACATTTATTTACAAGCCTAAAACAACCACCAACCTTACTAAAATGGGACTATTAAGCCTTCGACTGTCTCTCTACATATTGTACAAAGCATGAACATACCAAAAGATACGGACATACGTAAGTATTACATCAAACATCCTGTTTCGAAGTTTGTCCGTGACATTGCGGCTAATCATACAAGCAATAAAGTAAGCTTAAAGCAACGATACATTCATCTAAAACTATGGACAGATTCAAGGCTGATTCCAGAAGCATTTTGAGCTACAGATATATATATATCATAGTATGTAAACTCAAAACTCTTCAATTAGAAAACACTATCTTTTAGTGCTTGCTGAGACGATTCCAAGGAACAACACATGAAGATAATGCCAAGAACTTAAACAAAAGAAAGATTACTTGCCAAACATTAGAAATGATAATGGACAAATTATAGAGTGCATATTTTTGAGTTAAAAATGTCATTTTTATTTCCAGTTCATGATGGACAAAATTTTCTGGCCTGATTACTTAAACACGACTTTCACTCCATATCAGCATTCTGTAAACAATTTTTTGAAGTAAAAAGAAAAACCCGGTTGCAAATGATATGACCACAGCACCATATTTTCCACAAACAGGAATTAACACATTAGAAAGCATATTAAAGCAAGCTATTAGTCTCAATTGCAACCTATAAACTTCTGACTAACCAAGTTACGGTGAAGTACCTGTATCACCAACAAACTGCTCCAGTGAACAGATTAAACTGCACAAGCATGTAAGAAGCCAGGTTTTCTTCATCGACAGGAGTTGATGCGAGTTGACAAAAAGGTTCTCACATTACACTTTCACCATTCTTGGTTTAATTTAGTTTCAGAGAACCCAGAACAATAGCACAGCACAACTGTCTATTAGATTGTGAAAACACTTGCAGCTATCATCCTCTTCTGGTGTGCAGTAACACTTCTACTGGCTATGCCTTGGTATATAAGTGAACGGGTAGGTCAGAGTTCCTAAATAAACAATAGAAAGAGATGTTTATTAGAGTACTACATATATTTGAATACTTGAAAACTAAATTAACAACTGGACCCTTGTTTAAATTCAGAAATGTCAGGGATGTACACAAAGCAAAACAATCTATAATTCAAATCATGATCTTAGTTACGACAAGATGTCATTATTTTGGCATATAACATAACGTAACATAGACTATCTGTGCATGACTAAGCAATTAGTTCTATGGTGATTTTGTAGTCATTCCCACTGTGCTATGGCCTGACACACTGTCACAGAACAATCTTCATTCTTTAAAGATTTAACAGAGACACTCAACTGCTTTGTAAGAGTGCAGATGAGGTTTGTTGTAATCTTATACCTTCACCTTCAAAGTCGATGATCTACACTACAACTCCATTCATGTTCAACTACACTTCAACCTACAGTTTACAACCTCAACTCTACATTAACCACCATTTCAGGTTAGAATCATCATCCTCAAAGTTCCATCAATCTTTGGTACATTTTTTAACCTAACAAAAATCTTTAAGTTATCATCTAACATCGATCAGTTGAACAAATCTCCTACATGTTTCTGTCCATTATCACAAAAGCAATGGTTAGTTAAACCTTAAAGTTATCATCTACATTATATGCCTATTTCCTGCAGAGAACGATCACGAATCCAACTGATTATTCATCATTGTAGAAAGTTAATGCAAGACAAGGAGGATCAACCTCCAAGGCAATTAAAAAAGAATACTAGGTGAACACATTCGATAAGTATTAAAAAGCCCAGGATGCACATAACTTCAGAAACTGAGAAACATAGGCAGTGTACCTTAGAACATCAACACAACCAGCAAAGAGTCACTAAGGACCTTGAGCATACAACAAGGTCTCTATTCCATTATAAACCATAAGGCTATCCATAATTTTCCTACTCAATGGAGGGGAAGTGGCCTTTATTCATGAAGCAATCCTCTAGATACAGTAGAAGGAAGAACATATTGTGAATATCATATAACATATCTTAACATCATCAATTAGGTAAAGCTAATCCATAGAAGAAAAACTCAGCATGAATATTAAATAACATGTTACAGTGTCATCAATTAGGTAGAGCTAACACATAGAATTTTGTCAACAAGTGAATTGGATAATAATAAAAAACAAGATATGATTAGAAACTAATGCAAAGAAAACTTGAATGCAGGCATAAAGGAAATTTTAAGTAGGAAAAAGGAATCATCCTAGAGATCATTATCATTATGTAAAACATTTCAGCCAAAGTGCTATAAGATGCGCTATATAGAAGCTTGAAGCTCAACAAGCTCATCTGTCAAGAAGCAAACTTTAAAGAAGCTAAAATACTTGAAATAAAACATCAGTGATAAGATAACATACATCTCTAGTCTCAAGAACAATGACTACAACAGGACCCTGCTAACATCATCAGATAAGTTACAAGTCCTACAACAACATCAATGAGGAACCAAGCCAGACATGCTTCTCCCAGATTCAAGATGATGGGCATGCATGTCTAAAGCTTGGTATATTCATACCCAACCAAGCTGCCAACAACTCATGTTATGCAGGTGTAAGACGCCGTTTCTTTGAATGCTCAATCTCTCGAGACTTGCTCCTTGGCCTCGATAATCTTCCTCTATCCCGGTCATCACCACGCTCGGACTCACGATCCCTATGCCTATGATGATCACCATGTCGATCCCGATCATCTCGATACCTGTCCTTCTCTCTTTCCCTCTCCCTGTCTCTCTCCCTTTCTCTTTCCCTCCCTCGGTCTCGTTCCCGCTCCCTGCCCCTCTCCCTCTCCCTCTCCCTCTCCCTCTCCCAATCCCGAACCCTATCCCTGTCCTTCTCTCTCTCCCTCTCCCTCTCCCTCTCCCTGTCCCGATCCCGATCCCGATCCCTTTCCCTAACCAAGTCTCTATCATCATAATGCCTCTCTGGCCGCTCCTGCCCATGGCCCATCTCCTCCTCCCATTCGTGCCTCCTATCAGAAGCTCCCGGTAGATCCCTGTCAGAAGCCTTGTCCTTTCCATGGCTTACTTCGCCATACTGCTGTTCCGATGCTCCATCATCCCTGTAACTCGACTGCTCTTCACCTACCCTAGCACCCATACTGAGATCAGGCCACATCCCAACACCACCGGCTAGCATCCCTCCTCTTCCAAAGAAAGCAGGATTCATGTGAGGAGCAACAACAGGAGGGAATGAAGGCATCAATCCAGGGAATGGAGCAGCAGCAGCAACACCAGGCCCTGCAGGGAACCCTCCATAAGCACCCCCCATTCTACCCATAGCAGCACCATAACCAGTTGGATCAAAGCCCTGGCCCATCATTGCACCAGGATGCATCACTGGAGGAGGCGGGCCAACCATGCCACCATTTCCCATAATACTGCGACTGCCGCCGGCACCCATTTGTCCCATCCGGTTCCTCAACTGTCCTCTGTTCCCCATACCACCCCTCCCCCAACCACCACTTCCACTGCCGCCGCTGCCGCCGCCGCCGCCACCACTCCTTCCATAATTCCCACCCATCTGCTGACTGCCCCTGCCCTTCTGTGGAGGGCCACCAGACTGCTGTGCTGCCAAATTTTGGTTCTTGAGTTGTGCCTCGCCCATCCGTCGAACCGTGGCAGGTGTAGCAAATGCCACGACACAGGGTCTACCATTGAACATATGACCATTCATCCCCTCCTTACAAGACGCAGCAGCCATCGGATCATAGAAATCCACCTGGCAGTAACCCTTCGATTTCCCGCTGGCCTTCTCATCAAAGAACTTGATCTCTTTCACCTGACCATACTTGCTCAATTCTGCCAAAAGATCGGCGTCCGTAGTCCACCAGTGGAGCTCCCCCACAAAGAGAGTACTACCTCCAAAGTCCCCTTCCCCCACACCACCACCATTAGTGTTCGCTCCTCCTTGCCTCATTTCACCTCCAAAACCACCACCTTGCCCGTGAAGACCCTCGTTAGAGTAACCACCGCCTCCAGTTTGGGCTTGTATCTCGCCAGTCCGTCCAGAAGTCTGCCCTAAGTCAGCTCTAACACCACCAGGAATTGGCAGCGGCACCACAGCAGCCGTTTCGCCAGCTCCTCCCCGAAACTCTTGAACAGAAACACCAGCGGATCTCTCCATCTTTATCTCCCCGGTGATCCCAGGGAGATGGACCTTCTCCGGCAACGGCGCCGACGGCGGGAGGGGTGGTGGAGGAGGCAGAGGAGTTTCGGCCAAGACCGCGTCCGGCGCAGGCTCGTCGCTCCGGCGGGAGGATTGAAGGAAGCCCTCACCGACGTTAACGTCGCTGTATAGGTCGTCGAAGTCGTCCTCGTCCCCGTAAAACTGTTCCTCATCCTGGACTGCGGCAATCGCCTCGCCGCGGTGGAACCCGCCGGCGGCGCCTCCGCCAGGAAACCTTTCGCCGCCGGAGTCCATGGGAGAATTCGTCGGCCGGGGTCCGGATTACGGCGGTGGGCGCGTGCGGGGGGAAGCGAAACCCTAGAACTGTCTGAACACTGGAAGGCGTTCGAAGGAACGACAGGGGCGGCCGAATCAACAACTGGAGAGTTCCGTTTAATTTAGGGTTGCTTGCATAACAACACCTGCCCACAAACCCAAACCCCCCGCCCGCCCCCTTTTTTTTTTGTCCATATACTTGTGAGGTCGAAAGGTTCGCGTCCCGAACTTTTGTCGCACCAACTCTGTTCGCAGTCGAAAAGAAGGGACTGGTCCACTGTCTCTGGTGGGTCCCATTGCTTCTGTGACCACAAAGAGATCCGGTGGGGTACGTTTCGGGTACCGTTAGGTTGGCTCGAGATTTGGTTGCATCCCCAGATGGATCCCAACCGTCGGTTCGGTAGATCATGAGAAAACCCGAGATTGAGTGACTCGGATGAGTTGTCCGCCGCCACGTTACCGTTTGCCCGGCGGACGCAGTACCAGGTAGAGAACGGTACGATTAGATTGAGAAGGGATCCGGTTTGCACACGTCAGTTGAAGCGGCGCGAGAAAAACGTACCTACGATTCCCACCCAAACAACTTTCTCGTCCTACGTGCCGTTCCTCTACTCCAGAAGTTTGTGGGACCCATTCTTGAGCCGTTTCAGAGCGCTGTGGGTCCCCGCTCCTGTATTTACTTGTTTATGAGATTAGCGATTAAATGACACCAACGGGCTCCATTACTTGTAAAGATTAAATGAAGGTATCAGAGTGGGTAGTCGATCACAGAGTAGGGGAGTTACGAAGTCGAGTCTTGGATTAGGTACCTTTCTTCGTCGAGGAGGTCTAAAGCCTTTCCATGCGCGGTCGTTTCGCCACCTGCATCTCCCGTCAACCGCCCACCGGGTTTCCACGTTACAGGCCCGACCGATCACCTCGACGTCTCTTTCCCCCACCGACGATCGCGGCCTCATACTGCCGCTTGTAAATGCTGTTTCCACGCACTTCCTCCTCCAATCCCTTCCTCCTTCCTCTATCTCTCTGCCTTCAGATGGCCGCCCGTCTCCGCCAGAAATATGCAGCTCAACGCACTTCTCCTCGTTGTCCTCGTCCTGGCGGCGGTCGGCCGTGGGGCGGCCCAGGAGCCAGCGTCGGCGCCGCTTTCCTCGGCCGCGTCGCCCCCTACCGCTGAGACCCCCTCCAACACCCCCGTGGCAGCCGCGACGCCCGAGTCTTCGGCGGCGACCCCTTCCCCTCAAATGCCCAAGTCTTCGTCGCCCGCCTCCGGCCCCGTCCCAGACGCCACCGCTTCCTCTCCAGCGACTTCGCCATCTGCCTCCTCTGCCGGGGCTCTCCTCACCCACGACCTCCCCATCTCCCACCTCCTCCGCGTCGGGGCCGTCTCAGGACGCTGCAGTCGCCTGTGACGTTCCCACCGCCGATTCGCCATCAGATATGGATGCTGGGGCCACGCCGGCCTCGCGACGGCTCTGATCGCAGCTTTTGTCGCGTTTTAAGCTGGTTTGATGGGAATTTTGAGAACTTTTCCCCTTTGAATTCGTGCTGGTTTGATGGGAATTTTGAGAACTTTTCCCCCCCCTTGGAATTCGTGCTGGTTTGATGGGAATTTTGAGAACTTTTCCCCCCTTGGAGATGCGAATATAAATTGGTAGGTTCCAAGGATTCCAGTTTTGCTATTAACCTCTCAATTCAGATGAGGTGATACGTCTCACTGCTACTAATTATCATAGCATTGTGCATCATTGCAAGATGACAAACTGATATCAGCATCACAGCTAGATTGACTGCTGCCACTTGTTGAAATATAAAGACTGCGAAAGTCAACTCATCAAATGAAGTATATGGCTTCTAGTCCTTATTTATATACTCCATAATTAAAAAAAACAAATTCATTTTAAGGGAATTCCTAGGAGATGAGAACATACAATTTCCTTTGTTCCAATTATAACTCAAATGATGCCATTCATACAACTGCAGGAAGAACACCTACACCTTAGGCACACAGTGATTGCACCACAATCTCCATACGTCTCACCACCCTTTATTCCAGTAGAACTCCTCCAGTGTGGTTGGTCAGCAATACCAGGTTTAATAGCTTTGGAAGAAACAGAGCAGAACGACGGTGACCAAAAGAGAACCTGAGACTTGACCGGACAACCTCAGTGGAGGTGAGGCTGAGTAATTATAGTAGGGCAGGTAAGAAGAAGGCTGAGGCGGAGGAATCTGGCAGCACTGGACAACTGTCGTCGGCGGGCACTCAGACCGAGCAGGAGGAGGCGGCGGCGGCGGCGGTGGTGGTGCTAAATACTTTATATAAGCAGGTGGAGGAGAGCTGGAATAACAAGTGCCACATGGTGTGCAGTTGGAACATGCAGGTGGAGGGGTGTACTCCCAAGACTCTGCATGGCTGATGCTGGCAACCAACAGCTCAAGCACCAAGATGAAGCTGACCGCAGGCAGAGAGAAGATTGCCTTCCTATCCATGGCAAGGCAGCAACGAGGAGAAGAGGTGGAAGAAGAACTGTTGGAAAAAGATGCAAGATGTAACTGGTTTTAAGTATGCAGCTGATGCATTTTCCACACGATTGCAGCTATCAATGTGCATTCATTCGAGTGACGGTGTCATGTATGCATGCAATCTGCCACATGGAACAACAGCTGTCCAACCGCACCTTTTGTGGTTGAAGGACGAAAAATCTTAATCACCAGCAGCTAATTCTCCTTTCATTTCCCAACTTCGATGAAAATTTTGTGGAGCTTTTTCCCTCCTTTAATTGTTTTTTCTTGAAATCTCTACTAGTATGAAGAGAGATGCTGCAAGGGTTCATTCATATGCAGTGTAATCTCCAGGTAGCAGGTTTGGTTCATCATGCATTTATTATGATGCTGATCACAAGAAAATTAATGAGCTGTTGTACTTCTCCAATTATCCATCTACAACATGATAAATTAAATGTCAAGTAAATGACAGATCATGTATACACTAAAAATTATCCAGGTCAAGGTCCATGCCTGAAGATTATCCTTTAATTAAAGCGAATGAAACAAATCAACTCTTAAGATAACTACTCTTCTATTAGATATGATGAAGCATATAGACCGAAATGCATCCTGCATTACAAGGTCAATGTCTGAAACCTGCAAACTACACAAAAACGTTCTTGGGAAACTGGAAGACAACACTAAGTGGTGTTTTTGATGGTTACTTCTCACAACATTGGCGACTTCTGTGGTGCTTTTCTGTTTTCCCTCACCTTTGAAACTTACTGCTGCTGATCAACTCCATCTGTTGTTGCAGCAACTTCGGCTTCGATAGTACGTGGTTTTTTTAAGACAATACCATCTTCTTCTGCAGATTCTAGTTCCACTTCATCTTCACTTAATTTTCCTATTGCAGTGGCTAAAGTTTCATCATCTTCACCTTCATAGGTTTGAGCTTCAAGTTCACCTCTTTTTCTTTGGGGAATTACCTGAAAGAATGCATCTTTCCAGTCCTTCGTTTCTATAAATTTCAGCAGTATCTCAAACACTTGGTTGACTGTAAGAACCTGGGAAACATATAGAAGCATCCCATCATGTTCCACATGACGCAGAATTCTGCAAAATTAAATGTCATCTAAACAGTATCATCATTCGTCCAAAATGTATAGATGCACTCGGCATGATTAACAAAGCACTATGGCCTATTACTGCACCCCAAGCAACTTCAAGGTGCTCTAACAGGTAGCTCTGGAAGGATCTAACAGATAGGAGACAAGTCACAAGTACTGGCCCTGGCATATACTTGTACATAGGTTTCATTATTTTGGGGGGTTGTCAACTGCTCCCTTAAAGGCTTAGATCGACTCGGTCACATGTGTAAAGCCCAAAGCTTATTTCTTAATCTGTACAGTGATTAATATGATAGCATCCTGAAAGTAAAGGTTCTATTTGGTTGTAAGAACTGTAATAACTTCAAAGCGAGGATAACATTTATTGACAAAACTATTAATAAGAATGTGCAACAAATATTCAAAACTTCGAAGCTCGAGTAGCTAAAATGATTTCAATTTAATGACTAAAAGACTCTTAATATGAACTTACAAAAAAAAATCCTGCAAAACAAAGCTAAATAGGAGAAAGCTTAAAGATCACAGGACCTAACAAAAGTCGTCCTCTTCTTCTCATAAATGATTAAAGATATTACATCTTATAAGAAGTTGATGAGGCTTTTAAATCTACATCAAGGTCTACATGGTTTTATGTGACTTATTATGCTTTAAAAGGTAGTAGTTTAACCTGTTCTCTTGCTCCAACCTTTTTGGGTCATAAATTTATATATTCCCTGCAGCTGAGCCCGGAGAGAGGATAATCTTGTTAAAGCAAACAGAAACCAAAATAAAGCTAGAGATTTACTAGAAGGTGAATAGAAAAGATGTATGCTTTGTAGCAAGACTTGAGGCTATATTTGGATATGTGGCATGTCAGTTCTTACGCAGTGAATGACCAAGTCCTAGGGGTCATTGTGACATTGTAGATGCATGTGAGATTCACAACTCAATTAAATCACACTAGTTAGACTTTAGCTTTGTTCATAGGCTCAGAAGTCAAGTCAATTCCCAGGAATCAAAATAAATATATTCAAGATTCTATGGATCATGGTAAAAATCTTAATTGACAGCTCTGCATGTCCAAGGACAGCTGCTGGCTGAATGATTAAATTTTGTTTTGTCTAAAGAACATGTACATCTACATAATAAAAATGGCACCTGCATAAATGAACCAGTCATACCTGCGAGCTTGACATCTTTAAGTAGTTTCCAATTGGCAACTTTGCAGAGTGAATCCCTTGTTCATTTGCTTTTTTCATAGTTACCCCTTTCCAACGGTTCCGATCAACTAACCCACCAATAATATAGATTTTCTTCTGATCAATCTCCTCTAATGTAGTTTCTGAATCAGCTGTTAGATAGACAAGATTGTCCTTTTGCTCCTGAAAGGCTTCGATATAAGATCTGCTTTCCTTCTCAATGATCCATTTATAATATCCTGGAAGTCTCTGTAAGTGGGTATCTAACTCTCCTTGACATCCTGTCAACCAGAGATGAGCTGGAGATGCACATCTCCCATTTACTGCATAACAATACATAATCTGTAACTTCCATTAGCAAAAGAATTGAAGTTTAAAAACTATTATTTTCTATAGAATCATCAGTGTCTTTTTTTCTTCCAGTCATGCAGTTATCAGAATGAGTTTAAGAAGAAAATGCATTCACAAATAAGATGACTCTTTGATAACGTATCACAATAGTTCCTGCCAATCGCAACCATGTAGCTATTTGAGTCTAGAAATTAGTTCATTTACTTTATTTGCCATATAGGTTTTCAAAATAAGTCATCATTGTATTGATCGTTCCTATTTCACTATTAAACCTCTCTTTGTTTACCCACAAACCCAGGAGAAGAAAAAACATTTTGTCTGGTGTCTATAACAAGCATATATGCATTAAGAGTTAAATAGGCTAAACCAAGAAGCCGTCCCGAATATTCAGTATCCAACTCTACCGTCACAAAATGAATAGGTCTTACCTTTTCACTGAAATGGAAAACCTATGAGAAACTATTGACATAGAAGGAAAAAAATTCACAACACAAAGTAGTATCAATCCAAGTTTCCATATTGACTGCTACAAGATAGTATCAATGTCCTGTTGACCTTTGAAGAATTTGCTGCAAACTTATGTCAAAGATTTCATCCATGATGACTGAACCACAATATTCTAACTAAGCTTCTTTGGATGACATCATATATGTACCAAACCACCCTAGTTGCATCTCGCACAAGCTTACAAGCACCATCCAAAAGAAAAGCTGGTTATGAAAGCTATTATATAAATAAGTTGCCTTCAAGCCTTGGATGCAACGGGATAATCACATTATCATTATGAGCGTGAGACTTCGAAGGACAATTGTGTGATCGCAAAGTTGTTATGTTGTTAACAACAATCATTCTGCATGCAGGGAAGCACTCATCTATATTAACTACGCCGCTATGCATGCAAGATCTTAAGCTATATGAGTATAAGGTGAGAATCAATTTATATATTGTTCACAATTAAATTAAAAAAATGTTTGAGGCATTGAGAGGAGGCAAACATCAAAAAATAGTCTAAATAAACTCTAATTGCATTTATTGAGGAAAGTGAATAACTACAAACTAATTAATGGAAAGGGGGCGAATGAATGGCACCTGCTGGACGAGGCTGTGGATCTCGTTGGGCGTCATGAGGTCGGAGAACTCGAGGTCGAGGACCACCTTGGGACCCACCTCGGCGGCCCGCCGAAGCCGCAGGGCCCGCATCTCGCGCTCCTCCGCCCGCCGCTCCACCCGCTCCCTCCGCGCCTCCCTTCGTGAACCGATCATCTGGGCCCGCTCCTCCTCGGTGGCCGCCGCCAGCGTCTCCTCCCACTCTCGGCGGCGTCGCTCCACATCCCGCCGCCGCCGCTCCTTCTCCGCTGCCTTCCGCTCCGCCTTCCGCGCCTCCAGCCGCTGCTGCTTAGCCAGCTTCTTACGCGCACTCTTGGAGAGGGCCGGGCCGGCGTCCGGGGCGGCGGCAGTCGCGTTTCGCTCTTCTACACCGGCTTCGTCCATTAGGCGGACGCGGAGCTTAGGGTTTCGAATCGAAGCGGGTTGTCGCCACTGGTACCTAACATGTACCCTATTATATAATCCGATATATGTATATAACGAAACTCTATTCTACGTATTTATGACTGAGCCTTCTATTTGGGCCGGAAACTTGGCCCAAAACTGGATAAAAGCCCACTCGTCAGCAATCTTCTATAAGTGAGCTTTCTATCGAGGGCGGTGTTTGGATCTTTTAAAGATGACGTTGTTCTTTAGGTAAATGTTAGGGACCAAATTCATGGTATAGATTGAAGTATGAAACTAACTTTTTTGGGATGAACAAAAATATTCCATTAAATTTCTATCAAACTTAACGTTTTAGAAGTGACTTTGCATTAATTTCAATCATTTTTAAGATGGTTCTTTTATATTATTATAAGAGATTTGTATTCATAATCCGTTCTTTGTATCCCAACTTTTAATATTATAATATATATATATATATATATATATATATATATATATATATATATATATATATATATATATATATATATGTTTGTTCACATGAAGCCATGCACAAAATCCATGACTCGCTTCATACATTAGGGGATGCTATTAGTTTCATCTGTATGTAAATACCAAGACTCCATCTTGTTCTTTGTTTCAAGAACATACTAAGGAAGAGAGAAAAGGTAGTGTGTCAGTAACGTAAGCCAAGATGTATCACAGAACTAATAATACACCGACAGGCCAAGTCCACACTCGTAGTGTTGTTTCTTCATGCGCAAAGTCCTTCACCCGTGCGCTCACGCAGACGTCTCGCTGATTCAAGACACAAGGAACAACGTATGAAGAGTCTTCCGATCTGTGAGAAATGAGATTCTGAATGATTCGTTGAGAGTAAAAGATTTTGCATGAAAAGAAAGAAAAAAGATGGTATGAGCTGTGTTTAATATGAGATGTCAAGGAGATTTGAGTACCTCGATCGGGTGGTCAGTGAACGGGGAGAAAGATGTGAGATCAGGGTTGCATCGCCGAGCTGTGGGTTAAAGAGGAAGCACGACCGCGTAAAGAAACCCTAAAGACGGTAATGACAGAGAGAGGAGAGAGCACACTCCCAGCAAGAGCGAACGCCATTCTTTCGCCAATGTTGGGCTGTGCTCTCTCTCTTCTGTCATCATCACATCCATCGTTAGGACTCCACTGCATCCTGCCAACTGAACGATAGCTGCAACAGAATAGTTTATTTTCTGGTGCTGTGTAGAGGAAGGAAGCAGCGCAAGAAATCATGGAAAGAATGCATGTAATGAACTACAAAGGAACAGAGGAAGAGATGTGCATGAACAGATTGATGTATACTTTCCTCTATGCTGTAATCATTCATGCATGATTCTCATGCTATGCAAAGGATTTGTTCCATGGATGGATGATGATCTTGAATGAACTCGGTTGCTTTAATCCTCATATGAAGTACCTGTGTGTGGATCATATACTTCTACTACTACAGAAAAAAAAGACACGCATAGTTATAATCAGTAGCAACAGAAAGGAAAAGAAAAGACTGATCGTCTATCAGAAAGAACATTAGACGAAGGCAGCATAATGGTGCAATCATAAAGCAAGATTTTCTCGAGCTATCGATCGAAGAAGGAGAACAGCGAGCGGAATCGATCAAACAAACACAATCGAAACCAGAAAGCAAGAAAGAGAAAGGATGGCAATTTACTCAGATTGCTGAAACGGGAATGCGAAGGAAACCGGCTCACTGCCTCGCTTATGTAGAAGGAAGAGCCATGTGGTCCTACAGAGTTACCCATGCAAAGACATCTGCATCGACCAGTTGCGGAGGAACACTGCACAAGAGATTCTGCCCCAAGTAGCTACGCATGGTTGCAAGTTGTCAGTCTTAAAGGCGGGCCAACAGGCCCTCGGTAACGCTTAGCACCATGGCAGGGGACGTTAAAGTGGAAGGGGGTGAAAGAAGAGGAAAGAGGACCATAAATGGTGGGCTGGAATTAGAGGGTTAGTGACGTTGACCCGCCTCGTTCTGACTCCACGAAGAAGAGTAGTCTCACGTCTCGGTCTCACCGTCGTTGTCTCTTTCCCCTCTGGTCGTCTTGTTTACCTCGTTAAGCTCTGTGTCAGACGCATGGAATGGACTCCTCGTCAATTTCTTAGGTAGAGTAGCATCAATGAGTGGAGTTCAGCTCTCTGCTAATCTTTGGACGTTGGATGGATGGATGGATGGATGGATGGGTGAATGATCCTATGCTCTTGCGGATCTGACTGACTGATTAGATCAACTTTGACGAGCTTTGATGTAAAACCGACGTAGAATCGACATCTAATCTTTTACGAGATATATTGAGATTGTTCGATTCAACCAAAGTCACTATCAAAATGTTTAGTTTCATGTCGATACAATAAAATATATTTATATTATTTTATTTTAAGACTAATTTATTTAATTACGTTAGATGTATCAACCTATATTAAAGATATCATACTAACTCAATAGGTTCCAACCCTGACAGAGAACACATGCAGCTATATGTCCGGACGCCATGGAAGGTGTTACGAGTGTACAAACCAAGAACAGAGCTAAAAACTTTGGAGCCAGATTAATTAAATTTTACCTATTATAATGAATTATTTTTAATATTTTGATCTTTATACTTTTAAAAATTATAATAGGTTAGAAAATAAAATATTTAATCTCCTTTTTTTTCTCACGTTATCAATTCTATTGACCGAAATATCACAGTGATGTAAAAAAAATACTAAAATAAGATTAAAAAGTAATTTTATAAATTATTTCGATTAATTACTCTAGCTTGCACTTTGTTCATGGCTAACAGTTAACCTCTTTGGCTTCATAGGAAGGGAGCACAAGACTTTGAACCTCGAAGTAGTGCTCCTCGTGAGCACATCGTGCAGAATCAAATCATCGTTCATGTCGATGTCCTCCTTCGTGAGCTTCGTCTTGAGGATTGCGAGTTTCGTTGCATGGCACTTCAATATGAAGATGCTCCAACCATCATTTAATGGGGTAGCAGCACCAGCGTGATGGCACACTCAGGAGCTACTGGCCATAGCGAGAGACGCTCACGTAGCTCAAGATCCGCTCGAGATGGATGTCACCTTTAAGGGCCCTCTCTAGCATATCAAAAGACGATGATGTCCATCTCAAAGCGGATCTTGGGCAATGCAAATATCTCCTGCCACAGTCAATGGCTCTTGGGCATGCCACCATGCTCAACCTTGTAACCAACAGTGAGGGCCTCATCATCATGAAAGCCCCCGGCCATAGCGAGGGCTAGCTCATCGAAATTGGTTGCATCCGTGGGTGTCGGGGTTTGACGAGGGTTAGCGTAGACTTCACCAACTACGACGACAGTTGTTGTGACAGATGGAGGGGGCCAACATAGGGGATTTGGAGCACGTGAACTGTGGGCTAGCCTCAGAGGACATGAATGTGGCCATATTGGCACCGAACTAGGACTCACCCCACTGTTGTAACTGTGATGATGACTACTACTATTTGCCACTGCATGACGCTACCACCCCATTAGAAGACAGCTGAAGGATCTCCATATTGAAATGCCTCGCCACGAAGCTCGCAATGCTCTAGATGAAGCTCATGGAGGAGGACAACAACATGGACAATGACTAGATTCCACGTGATGTGCTCATGAGGAGCACTTCTCCAAGTGAAAGGAATTAATCAAAATAATTTATGAAATTATTTTTTTAATCTTATTTTAGTATCATTTTTTTTTTTTGCATATGATAGCACATGCAATATTTCTGTTGATTGAATGAGAAAAAAATAAATTAAATATTTTACTTTCGTAAGTATAAGAATCATAGTATAACTTTTTATAATAATTATAAAGATCAGAATACTAAAGATAATTAATTACATAATTAATTATAAGAGATACTATAATTAGTTCATAGTAATTAAAAAATAATAACATAAGACATATTGATATAAATCAGCCAATGTCAAGCTTTCCTTGTGACAACACAGCAGTGCATCAAGATTGGCCTAAACAAGCAGTGTAGGAAGAGCAAGGACCTACCAAGCTTGTTCAAGCTATACACGCTTGCTACAAAAAGGCTATCAGAAGTTCCAAGTACAAGAATACTATCAACAGTCAGTGAAATAGTTGTCTCGGTCCAACAGAAAATTAGCCCAAAAATCTAAACAGCTGATGATAAATCTTTAACTTAAAAAAGTCGTAAGATACAGCTCTACCTCGGTGAAGGGAAAAAAAAATCCAATAGGAAAAATTTGTAGTTTACAAGTGCCATAAAAATAAAGAATGGCTAAAGCAATTTCTTGAGCAGAAGGGTGACTTCCGGCAAAGCTTCTCTTGAATGCTCAATATGCCCTTGACAACGATACAGAATTTCTGCAGAGAGGCATTGCCACCAACCTCTGAACTGACTAATCTCATGTACTCGTCATTCCTTTAACATGGAGAGAATCCAAGATATCAACAAAAGAAATTTGATGCTTAAATTGCCTTATGGAGTCCGCACTCACCCCACTTGAATGTTCTACAAGTGAAGTAACTTCTGTGGTTGTTTCATTACAACTAGCTTCCCAGGTCTCTTGACTTCCAGTCCCTAATTTAGTTTTCCAGTGAATGCCCAAAGAATCAGCCTGATCTGCAAACAAAACCTTTGATGCAGAAGCAGCACAGATGTCCCTGTAAGTGTCATAATTGGCAGCACGAGTGTTTCCACCTTCCAATAGCTTTGAAAGAGGATGCAGCATTGATATCGGATCATTAACTCTCTCTAATGTATCCTTCAGAACCAAAATTTCATTTACAAATTCCTCCTTACTAAATTGAATAAGTGCAGCAGTTCTATCTATGAAAAAGATTGACGTAATGGAATCTGGACCAAACACTCTACAGACGCAGTCCTTCAGATCTTTTGGCTTGAATTTGGATGGAAATCCCCAGATAAGAACAATATTTGCAAATACCACTGCAGGATACTTGCGCTTATAACCTGATTCTGGACTCTCAGTACCAGTATTTAAATGAAGCACAGTTCCACTATTCCAGCTGGGGTATAAAACATTGATGTAGTTCTTGATCTTACCATTTCTAGCCAGATCATATAATGGTGTGTGGACTTCAAATTTGATGCCTAAATGAGAGCAGGCCTGAGCGAACACACATCCAGTCATGAAAGCATCATAACCTGCTTCATGCTTTGCACCAGAGTTGAAGCAAGATGACCTAGACAAAACAACACCATTAGAAGACAAAATTGGCCGTTTCTATTTTTCATGTAAATAGCTTGCTTGGTGACAGAAGCATATGCTACATTACGAGTAGATTGTAATATACAGTTGAATTAATGGGAAATCTAAATGGCTATTTGGTAAGTTGAAGATTATCCATTACAGTGCATAAGGTTTTAAGCAGTTCTGCTTGGTTTTCCCTCCCAAAGAGTTGGATCTAATGTCTTGTGTTCATTTGGTCTATTAGCATCAGCCAAATTTAACTGATCAGCAGACTAATACATTACCTGAAAAAGGCATTTATATGACAAATGACTTCTTTTGCTCTTTAATGACATAAAAACCCATTATTAACATTCATAGATAAGTATGGAATATCTTACGTTAAAAAAAATTCTTTAGTCAGTAGATCTGTAACACGAAAATCACCATTACTCATAAACATACAGTGGGAATTTTAGATTCATATTGATCTTCAGTGGAACTTTAAGACAATGGAACAAGGAACTTACTAAACCAAAATAGTTAAAAAATGAACATAGTTAATTAAGGTTGTGGTTTGTCCAAGGAAAAAACAAATAAAATTGAATAAGGTATAAGGAGATACATGGAAAACTTATAACATTCACTGTTAGCTAGCCTAGCTGGTAAAGACTTTCAGTATATCACAAAGTCCTGGGCTCGAATCCTGCTTCGTCACTTACCCTTAGCAAAAGAAACAAAGAAGGCTTAAAAGTGCATTAAGAAAACATACCCAGTTTCATCTGCTTGAATCTCAAATCTCACATAAGTACTGGAAGTGGAATTCTGGGAAACCGATGAAACCTTTGGGCACAAAAGAGAAAAAGCAGAAGACAGTGACTTGCTACTCCTTTTCATCAAAAACTGAATTACTTGGCTGGAATTCAAAAGGTGCTTGGTGTCAATTATGTATGGGAACTTTTCGTGAACAGCTAATATGAATTCCATCATTGATGAAGGTAGGGGACCAAAAAATTTGCTGTATATATGAGCTAAATCTGTTAAATACAAAAGAAACAATTGACTAAGGCGGTATTGAAACATGTACAAAAGTACCTATAAGAAAATATATACCTAAAAGACAATTGTGACCAACAATCAATTTGCCATCTGATGCAAGAAGATCTACAACGTGCCGAAATCCCACTGCAGACTCGACTCTTTTTTCCACTCTCATCACATCTTGCTGGACCTCTTTCTGTTACATGGAAAGACAAATACAAAACTTAGCATACTGATTGATTGATGATAAGTTATGATTGTAGCTAAGAAATCAATTTCAGCTCAGAGCAAAGTCAAGCTTCTTTTTCTAAGTTCTACAGTAGATAGAACAATATAACCATTGTCTATAGAATATGCATCTTCACTCAAAAAAATTGTATGTACTATCTTATAGCAGGGTATACTCAGTCCACAAGGCTCCAGCCAATATGGGGTCTGGGAGGGTCAATGTATGCAGCTAACTTCTGTATCATCTTTATAACATGGTCAAGGGCACAAAAGAGCAATCTCCAAGTGGAAGGATCTTGCTCTAGTTTGTTTAACCTTGGCTCCTCTGACAATCATAAGATTTTTGGTAACCAAGAAGAAAACCACATCTTTATCCAAAGTGAAAAACTCTACTGTCTTAAAACAAATGTCAACTGATACACATTCTCCAAACTAAAAGATTATTATTGGTTAGAACATGAAACTTAGTTTTTGACGATCATAATATTCTGGGCATTCATTCATTCACAATGGCAAACTATCTTGCCAACATCTCTAGTGATAGTTCTTCATGACAGATAAAATATGGAAAACTAAAGAAAGCAATATTACAAAAACTTTCTCCTATATGGTCAAACTTTTAAGTACAGACATTGACATGGCAAATCTGGTAAACATAGGGCAAACACAGTGTGGATTGAAACAATGAATATGTGTATATATTGTGCTTTCTTTTTACTTTATACAATTTAGAAAAATCTGCGATCTTCATACATATTTTACAAGAAGTATAACAACAATTAATATGAGTAGCAAATTGTAAATACTTCAAACACATATACATAGTATTAACTCAACAGTCCAGTTTACACACAGATGTCAATACTAGACACATCTTGAAACTTCAGTAGATGATGTAAACATCCTACATATGCAATATATTAAAATAAATGTGCCACTGATACAAAAGTCCTAATATACATTGACGTACCCAATACTGTTAAAGAGTATCTAGACGCGTGGGTATGTAATACGAACTGCAAACATGACATGGACAATACGAACATGTTAACCTCTCATGTCAGACGCCAACCGGGGCAGTCCTCTGAGTGCTTTAAAGGGGATGATTAGTCACTTCAGAGAACATGATGGCTTTCCAAAGAAAGGTTTTGTCTCTTCTTTTGAAGCAAGGATGGGCTGTACTTGCAAATAAGACCTGGTTCACCTTTTACAAGAGAGAGGCTGATTATAACCAAGATTGTCATCCAGAAGATGCCTCATATCAAATCCTAGTAATGTTTCATATTGCAGGTTGATCCTACTCCACATGTTCAAGTTCCAATCTTTACATATATGATTTTCTAAGCATACTGATCAAATAGTCAGCAGTCCAAGATTTAACTGCTCTTTAGAACTTGCCATAGCTAGCTCCTCTGCTCAATCATTTCTATTAGTGATCAGCATACACAATGCACATGAACAATGTTCTAGTTCTATTAAATTCACCTATCAAGTATTACCTGGGAAGAAGCAAGAAGAAATGGGAAGTAATTGGTCATGGAATCTACATAGTTATATACATGATGAGCCTTTCTCTTTGTTTTTGTGGTTAAGGGAACTTGAAGAACGATTTTTTTGGTCAACTGACATTAATAGGGTGACAAGGAACTAAGTTACAACATAAAAGATGTTATAATGGATGTATGAGTTAATCTTTCTCCTAAACATCTCAGTCATCCTATTAACTTACTGGTCAACGATAACATGATCATAATTCATACTCATTCCCTTCATTTCATAGAAAACATTCCTATAATCTGTGACTAAATGTCAACTTCGGAGCTACTCCTGACTTCACCCCTTCCTATGATCATGAATCCAAGAAAGTATTGCAGACTAGTTAAATCTAAAAAATAAATCTTACAACCAGACAAATGAATAACAAATCCACTGAAATATCTTCCCATGATCTGCAACACCAAGTGCCAATGCTATAAGATCAAGATGAGGCACTGCTGTTATACCATCAAAGCCTAACAAATCCTCATACCCTTGGCTCAGCCAGCCCTTGCCCTCAGGTTCCCCAGTCAGTTTACCTTTACATCACCGATCATACTTATCATAAAATTATAACCATGTTTAGGACAGAATCACCAATGAAGCTTATCTTAAAGCTTTGCAAGAGAAGTGAGAACTGAGAACCATGTTGATCAGAAACTGGAAGATAAGTGATACAATTTCAGAAACAAAAAATAAAACATATATCAATTTCATACCATAAATGATGCCTTATCTTCTTCTGTCTCGACATAAACTACTCTCCTTTGCCATGAGTTGTCTTCATCAACAACACAAACATATACAAGGTCTTTGAAGTGCTTTCTCACAACCTGCAGTAGATGATGCATATTTCTAAAAAATAGATTTAAGATAACTGCCTTAATATTGATTTATTATTGTAAGAAAACGAAAAACCATATTTGGTAAAAGGGAATATCACAAAAATATTCAGACACAAGTTAACACAATGATACTGTTTGATATCTTAGTAACATCGCACATTTTTGTTTAAACTAAGTTATTTATGGTTATAGTAACTGTGAATTTTTGGATCAGTAATATGCTTGGTTCTGTTAGTCACATCAAGCCAGTTAGAAATCCTGACATAGATGGAGGATCTGCTACCACTTGTTCTAAACACAGGCACCAATACTTCTTTCCTATGTTTCTACTGCAGTAGTCATAAAATATACACTAAGGCTGCAATTCATAGAAGGAAAGGGAAGAAAATGTCTTTTGCATTCCCTCAAAATTTACACACTTAACAAATGGCAAAAACACTGAGCTGTAAGTTCGTTAAACTCTAAAACACAATTCATTATGTGGGGAACAACATGATGAGCTTTTCAACATTGTCTAAAATCACATGACCATTATTTAAAGAAACATGATGGCATGTAAATCCAAAACACATTTTAATGACACAATTCTACAAAAGTGAAAACAATAAACAATTCCAAACTACCAAGTGCAGAACAAATTCAACAAAATCAACTCAATTTCACATCCAGAAACAATCATTTTTCTACATTCACGAGTTCCAGGGGTCTTAAATTTCATGAATCAGAATAAAAAAGATATCTAAAAAATCAACAAATCAAGAAAATATATAAAAAAGAAAAGCCTGAAAGTATGCAAAAAATGAATTTGCACATTTGCATCTAAAAATTGAATGACACCCCTGCAATAAATCATTCAACTAACAAATTGAACTAGCCAAGCAGAACTAAAAAATTCACAGTCAATACAAGAATCAGCAAGATAACATTTGTACCAAGGCAATTGAGAACTCCAAATTCTTGAAAATGCAAGTGCTGAATCCAAATGTCTATGCAACATGGAAAACAAATTGATCAAAATGGAACAACAGACACCTTTGTTTATGTTCATTGCAACAACTAAAAACCACAACAAGATGTACTGTTTCCCCAATCATTTGGGATTGATTAGCTAGGTCAATAGAGTCCAGTGTTGAGCTCTGCTGAGAGCATTATCACAAACAAAGAGACAGAAAGTCTCTTTTATGTTATTTTATTTAAAGATTTTAAGATCTTACTCTATTTCCTCTCTCACCATTAATCTTAATTGAATCACCTCATCTAACTAGTGCATTTTTCATATTCATTAATGAAACAAAAATTGTACTAAATTAAGATAAGTCATTACCAATTGAATCAAGTTCAGCTGGTGGGAGCTAAATCCATTTAGGAAGACCGCTGGACGCATCTTAAAGAAAACTGTTTGAAACTGCATTTCATTGCCGTCAGCATTTTCTTTGTTAACACAACCTTTATCAGAACCCTTTAATATAGCATCACGCCATTCTTGAAATTTGATCTTCATCCTTTCTGAGAAAAAAAGGTCAGCTGTTCTCACCAGTGGTATATCCACATGCTCCTCCAAATTGCAGAAAGAATTAGCTAATCCATCAAGATACTTTGAAGATAAATATTTTAGAGCTTCTGCTTCTTGTGCTCTGGATAAATAAGATATTCCTGAGATTACCCGAATGCTTAAATATATGAGTAACACCAAAATCTGTATTGCAAATGATAGATTCTATAACTATCAGTCAGAAACTTGGTAAACCTGCTAGAAAGGCATGGAAAACCATAAATAAGGGTCCTCTGGGACCTAGAAGTAGGTGTTCACATGCCTTTTTTCAAATGATACAGTAACGAGGAATACTTCCAAAGGAATATAAGATAATGACATGATTGATCATAGTAATTAAATGTTCTTTACTGGTGCCAGGTATGCCAGCAAGACAACATTGCACATAAAGCAGGAAGCAGAGGATTGCAATTTGAGAAAGCACCTTCACGTATGCATGCGTTGAAGTCAAATTGGTACTTAGCGAGGAAGTCTATTGACGTTGTCTGGCAGAGAAATTCATACGATGGCCCATGAACTGGAAGCTCTTTCCGCGGAAATACATAGAAGTTGTGTCTGCCAAGTAAAATGAGAGGCCCAGTCATCATATCACATATAACAGTAGACGATAGTTAAATTCCCTAATCACAAGAGAACACAGTAAACACTACAACGATTACAAGGGCCATCGTGATTTTAATCAATTTTCAGCACCAATTTAATAGATGATGCTTCTGCAGACACTGCCCAGACATGTCCCATAATCGTCAAGCAAGAGGTCATCTCAAGATAGATAGTGTTACATCAAACAAACAAATTCAATTTGGACAAACAGGAAAAGAAGCACTGAAAGAAACCACAAGAGGTTGTGCCCTGAAACTCCTCTTCTGATTCAAACAAACAAATTTATAAGGAGCTGCATATTAGCTCCGCTAGTAGGAAACATAAACTCTATTTTCCAAAAGACAAGAATCGCAACCCAGGACTGCTCACCCTGAAGTAAAGCTTTCAGTTTAAACTAAATAAGAAATAAATAGATTTATTGTAACTACTCTCAGTTGCTTAGGAATAAAAAACGACACAACAACGAAAACCACAATTAGACCCCAACACAAGCAAAAGGAAAACCGAGAGGGCTCGAGGAACTCACGGGTACGCGACGAATGAGCCCCGGGACGGCTCCCACCGGAAGGGGCAGACCCCGAACTGTACCACGGCAAACTTCTCGGCTGAGTCCTTCAGCTTGAGATACCGGACGTCGGAGCGGTCGAACTCGAAGGAGTCCCTCCACGGGGCGCTCGTCACGCCGGTCATCTCGAGGTCGACGGCGACGAAGTCCGCTTCCCGCACAAGGGCACGGAGGTCCTCCAGCGCAGGCTCGAAGTTGGATCTGGTCACCTTCTTCACAGCCACATCGGCGCCGCCGCCGCCGCCGCCGCCGCTGGCGGAAGACGAGAATCGGCGGAGGCCAGGTATCAGCCATAGGATTAGGGTTTGGGAGCGGGCCCAAAACAACGGTAGATTTCTCATATCCAATCCCGCCTCATACGATTCGAGAGTCGCGACGAGGACGTCGAGAAGAAGCTGCGCGTCTTATTACAGCACAAATGCTTCACACGCCGGCTTAAGGGACGACTCGAGACACGAGTGGGGCTTCCTGTCCCAAGATCGTAACTTAATATAGAGTTCTTGTTTTGTACGGCCGAGATGCCATCAGCGCGCAACGGACAAACAAAATATGGCCAATAATTATGGTTTTTTAATTAAAAAATAATAATTATCATATGACAAATATACGTAATCTGAAATACTTGCGCATCAATACACTAACTAATCTGAACAGAAACTGAGCTCAAATACGTGTATCTTAAAAATTCACATATGTTCGGGAGAAAATTTTTATTTTTATTTTAAAATATCCCAAAATCTGTATATATGTATACTCCACATCTATGCTAGAATAAGCAACCCATTAATGTATGAAGCTAAATAAGCATGGAGTTCAATACTACCTTATGATGGAGAAAATGTTAGCATATAAAAGCTAATTGTTATGAAACAGGGATACATATAATATTGTCATAATTTCATTTTTCTTATATCATGCATTAAATTGAAATCAAATATTGAAATTTGATGCAAGTTGTACAATTAAAAAATAACTACAATAAATTAAAATGCATAAGATAATGTCAGATGTAAGTTTATTGCTACAAGGGCACACACGACTCATAATTATGGCACGATTTAGGCTTCAATGACCAAACTGAAAAACGAGTAAACATGATCAATCTCTGCTAAATTGCCACCTAGCTAGAAGATAATGGATAAATTTGAGTTCAGTTCAGGACAAGCAACTTCCTTGATTACATATAGAACTGTTTTCACCAGGAGCCATGATAAATATGAACACAAGATAAAAGACACAACTTCATATATTCTGTGACTGGCATTTTACTACTCCATAAATGATTCATAATATGCAAAACAAACGCATTCTGGACCTAAAACAAAATAAAAATGAATCAAAGCAAAAACCAAACCTATATAACTTAGAAGTCATTTTTTCCATTGAAATTGTGTGATTGCTTGACCAAAAATGTTAAAGAGCATTCAGCAAACAGTGCAACTGGCTAAAATAGTGAGCTGCCAAATGAAAACTTGATTCCAATCTATAAGCTTAATCCTCGTTCGAGTCCAACAACTGCAAGACACAATCACACATGCCTTTGAACATCCCAAAACCTCTTGGTTGTTTCTTGACTGCAGTTGATGTCTTCCACAGCAGTTCACTAGTCCTAACTTTTTCCAGGCAAAAATAACTACAGATTTGGTGATGAACTGCCATTTTTGTGGGGTGTCATTTCCAACTGCAATATGTTCCTACTTTGTTGTGTCATGAACAGAAACATAGTGTAATTGTAAATGAGTCGAGCTGAGCAACTTGCAAGACAAAGTCTAGCCGCTGCACGATATATCAGCAACAGTCAGATAATTACTATATTGCTGTCAAGGGAGCTAAAAAAAAGGCTATCTATTGACACCTGTTGAGGTACTTCCCTTGATTTTCCTTCAGTTAACCTGAAAAAAGAGGAGGCAACACTTACTGTAAGACACTAGAGTTGTTGGATCCCGTAATATGAAAAATGCAATATCATGAAACGAAACAAAGGAAAATAAAAGTGAAAAACTGACTGATAAAAGAAGAAGAATCTCATTTACTGAGCCATCCTAAATGAACTTTCTTGTCTCCGATATAATAATTTGCCCAGCTCACATCACAAGGTCAGATATCCACACAGCTCTGGACCTCTCCTGCTTAAAAGAAACATATAAATGCCCGGTGGAGGTAAAACAATATATGGTGCTAGCTAAACTCATTAAGGAATAGGCTTCTGGCATGTAGATCTTGAGGATTTGACTAGCCGAGCAGCAAAGGATCCATCGATGTGATGCTTGACTGGGTTTGAGAAGTAATAACCCTTCTCAGTAATACAATCTGGAGGGACAAATCCATGTACTGGTTGTACAACAAATTCCTGCAATATATTATTACAGAATTAAAGAAGTGTGAATAGACCAAAAAATAAAGTTCAACATAATCCATGTAACTATGCAGCACAGTCCAGTTTGCAGTTGCGGACATCATTTCATGTAAAAGTTAATATAGTTATCTAGGTTGCGAACAAGGTATGCAAAGATACATAAACCATGGTTTATGCAAAAATAAACACTTGTGGTTGGTATTGCCACTAATAAATAAATGATGAGAAGACAACCAAGTTCAGCAACAGATGTGTACTCTTTAAAATGGGTTTTGATCCTCGGTGTGGCATTAGCATAACCATACATCAATCAAAAGGTGAATAGTCACACCATGATCATTTGAAACCAAACTGGAAACTGTACAAGGTTTAATTAAAAATTACAGTTCCAAGTAAAGCCATGTCTAGTATTGATTACTTGGATTAAACCTATAATTTGATCTAAACATCAGATAACTATCAAGTAAATTTAGTTAGAACTTAACAAGAAATTCTGCTCCAATAAACTTGCAATAACACTTTTGTGAACATATATCAGTGAGCATACTAGAACATTCAGGAGCAAAGTCACATGAAGGCAAGGAATGCCTGTATCATGTATTGGATCTGTACCCATCACTGGCCGGAGCAGTAAGTACCATTGTTTCGAAAAGAGGAACACAGTGAAGCGAGGAAAGGAGAAAAAGGAAGAGGAAGGAAGAAGACGAGGCAGTGAAAGAAGATAAAGGAAGAAGGGGAGGTGGTGGAGGAAGAGGAAGGAAGAAGAGGAGCCAGTGGAATAAGATAAAAGAAGAAGAGGAAGAAGAAGAAAAACAATGGAGAAGGAAGAAGAAGAAAGAAAAAGAGGAGAAAAGCAAGGAGCATACTGGGGAGGAAGGTGAAAGCAAACTGTCATAGACTTAGCTAGAATTGCTTAAGTCGTGAGATACTCTTGTATTATCCATTCGCAAAGGATCAGTCTAGATGCAACCTCGCTTAGGTCTCATAGGCTTTACGTACAAACTTGTGAATCCAATCAACGTCCAACATTACCCCAAACCCCTATCCAAGTCTGTGCTACTCAAGTGGTTCCATGGTGTTGAAATGGTTAATGTTTTGCACCGTAGTCTGTAAAAGAAAAAGGCCATGACACACGAAAATTGGGTCATCTTGGGGCAATTTTGCCCATTCTAGTAAGCGGTCACTCTGTAGTTCTACAAGCTGTTCATGCTTACAGTTTTTAAGCAAAAACACACAAAAACAAGACAAAACACACTGCCAAACAAAATATACAAACAAACAAAAATGACAAACAATTCGTTGATAAAGGTGTTGCAAGTGTGCGATGACTGTCTGTGACATTCTCCCCACCTAAACTGTTGACGCTCTCGTCGATGCTTGTTGGTAGGTTTTGATGACTGCTTCTTCATGTTACAAGGCATCTTCGGGCTCCCAACTGACTTCTGTTCTGGGAAGCTTCCGCTACTTTACCAAATACTCGATCTGCTCTGCTTCATTGGGTAGCTTCATCTTACAATCAGCTAAAATGGCTTCAACTCACTTTTCATAAGAGGCTTTGAAACATTTCTAGAAGAATCTTATGGGTCTAAGTGGTAGGCCTTCAAGTTGCTTGCATAGAGTACATTGTGAATTGTGAGCCATGCCGATAGTTGCAACTTATAAGAGACATTGCCTACCTTATTGATGATTGGGAATGACCCTTCATACTTGCGCACCAGTTATTTATGCATTTTATGCCCAAAGAACTGAGTACAGTTCCACGCCTGAACTTATACGTATTGTGTGAAGGAACAATATGGCTTTAAATAAGAAATGGTATAGCATAAGTTAGAACAAATATAAAATCAGATCCATGCAAAAGGAAGAGTCCAAGTTACAGGAAGCTTAATGCTCAAATTATGATGATGGTTATGTATACTTTAGTGCAATAGCTTCATATCTTTTGTATGTTACTACACTAATGGTTTTATACACTAAAATCAAGGGTTAGGCTTGAATAAGGGAATACATATAAACAAGGTTTGTTCTACCATAACGTACCGCTCGATATGGGCAATACATACTGATTCAACAAGGGACTGGAACAAACGGTATATCAATATGCCCTATGTACCATGTGTCGGTATGCTCAGTACAACTCGATACATACTATATTGACAACTAGTAAATACAATGGTACGAACCGATAAGCCAAACCATGCATACAAATGAAGTTAGCTTATAAAATTTGTACAAAGTAAAAGCATAATAGGAAAATGACAAGTCTTACCTCTTGGACCTTGCACATAAAGAAAAATAAAAGAGGTTAAAGAGTTCATACTGGATGCCTGAGGAGAAATGCTGAAACCCTCTCCTCATTTTCTGCGGGATCAATGGAGCAAGTGCTATACACAAGTACACCACCAGGCTTTACCAACCTATTCATGTTAAAATGAGGATAAATACACAAGAAATTTCTCTAGTTCTCAAAGCATAGCAACAATAACATACTATTCAATGAATTGGAGCATAGGTTCATAGAAAGTAAAACTCACAATATAATCTGACAAGATACCACAATGTTACCAAAGAAAGGTTAAGGGTAAAGTGAAAAAATAGATGCACTGTAAATTTTATCAGTAAAAACCATTGTAGGATTTCCCTCCAATAGACCCCGGACCTGTTTATTATAAGGAAAATAGGACGACTTAACTGCCCATATTATGATCAAGGTACCTAACTAGGATATTTCTGAGACAAACTGATTATGATTACGGATATGTATACTCCTGGACAACCTATTGACAGAATAAAGCTAAATAAAAACAAAGAATCCTTTGAAATTAGATTTATTTAAAAGATATAAGGACAAGGACAGAATAAAGTTAAATAAAAACAAAGAATCCTCACATGGAAGCTGCATTAAAGAGCTCATCCTGCAAATTCATCAATTGCTCCAAATCTTCTAACCGTCTATTCCAGCGTAAATCTGCTCTCTTTTTAAAGAGAAAAGGCCAAAAGAGCAAGGGAATAGATTAAAAAAATCCAGAAAGATTGCTATAACCAAACAATCTGGTTATTCCTACCAATCTTGGTGTGCAATGAAAGACAAAAATGTTATTTAGAATGATAGCAACTTTGATATACAATCAGAAAGCCATGTGGTTGACAAGATCTGATTGACAACATATCAATTGATCCATGCATTTCTCCTAGCAAGTAAATCACTGAACTGCATCCAACTAGTTACTTAACAATTAGTTCAACACTTTTTGTATGATCAAGGACTTCACCTTACATATGTCTCAGGTATCTTGATCTACCTTGCATCTGTTTCAGTCAACTAACCAAAAGAGCCTCCTAAGCAAAAAGGTACGTACCTTGGATAGGACACCAAGTCCAGAGCAGGGAGCATCCAACAAGACTTTGTCAAACTTCAAATTATGTTTTTCCTAAAGGGAGGAAAATATAATTTATCAAATTTTAAATATGCAGAACAGGTCACGTAAGTTGTTTCTCAGAATATTACTAAAGCAAGAAAATAAAGCATCATGAGAATATGCAACCTATGTATCAGAGTTAGATTAAAACAAGAACATAAAGTAATCACAATATTGTTTTTAAGACCAGCAAATAAGGAATTAATGTCATTTGACTCTAATATTTCAACTTACTACAACATACAAATTTATATAATTACAGTTTAACTGATATAAAAGGACTTAGTAAACTTTAGAACAGACAAATTTGTTGTTAATCGTATGGCCCATTAGACCATCATCGATGACCAACTCCACTGGGCCAACCCACATGTGGGTTATAGACCTAACATGCTCAGCCCAATAGCACACCTATATAACGAGGCAAGACACTTCAATCCTCGTAGATGCTTCCATTGTCACTGCAATCGTTGTCGTGGAACGATGACTCACCCGCAAGGCGCTGTTTCCCATTAACTGTGATCATTGCCAAAGCGGTGGGGATCAATTCCTTATCTTGCAATTCCAAATGCATGTAATTATTTGGCAATTCTGGATGCGGGCCAGTGCATTGATTGAGAATTATGGTTGATGTGGGCCAGAGGTTGGACAGACAACGGAAAAAGAGAGATAGAGGCACAGAAGAAAGAAAAGAACAGTCGTAGTGTGAAGGAGAAGAGGAAGGAGCTGGGAGGGAGAGAGAGTGCAGGTGAGAGTGAAAACATAAGAGGCATATTGTACTGCTTTATTTCATTTGTTCAAGCACATTCTGGACACTATTCAATGTGCCATGGTAAGTTTATCAACAAAAATTGTTACTTTGTTGTGACTTGCGAGTTGCGAGGACTTATAATGTATTATTTTATCCTCGATGCTACAAGAATATTTTCCTGTCTCATGGTAGGCAGCACAACAATGATAGAATGAAATTTTTTAGAATTTATGAACCAACAAACATGACAGTTCAAATGGTCTCATAGAATTAGAAGAGATGTGCACCCATTATGGTAGGTAAGGACCCAACCTCCATCCATAGTTGGGAGAGAATATATGGAATGTGTTGTTGAACAGAGTAGAGAAATAGGGAAAAAGATTAGGGAAGAGAAAGAAAGAGAAGTGTGAGACTAGAGAAGAGTAAGAGACTAGAAAAGAGAAGCTGCAAGTCTCTTTCTAATTTAAATCTGAAGTGATTCATCCATATTAATAAGCTCCACTATTTATAGGGGTTTAGGAGCCTAGGCATAATCAATAAAGATAATAATTCCCAAGAATAATCTCTTAGGGAACTTGTATGCCTTGTAGAATCCCAAGATCTGACTTCTAGGATACCTAAATAGTAAAGAGTGTACTTAATACAAGAGTGCACTTAATACAAAATTAAAGTCCGAAGGTTAACATCTAGAAAGACCGAGAGACTTTAATTTTTCATACAACTCCTAAGTTTCTAGGCCAATTAATTGATAACTTTTTGTTGATTTCTTTGCCTACAATAAAGTTTCTTGGAATCCTTCATAAAGCTAGATGATTCTCCATTAGAATGTCTTCCTAGAGGTGGCAAATATATGACCATCAGAATATAATGAAGTGTCCTGAGTTGTAGCTATACTCAGGTAGGTGTGTGTGTGTGTGTGTGTGAGGGAGATAATTCGGGGTAATCATGTATCCATCATTTTAGCAATCACATAACTCAATAAAATCATTGTCGTTACTTATATACATGATTTTAAATCTCGATCAAGTACCAGCATTATTTCTTGATTGGACAGGTATAATGCTTACCTTTGAAAAGATATATAAGTACCAACATATACTGTCTGGTACTGTTAGCATTATAATGAATATTGAATGGTACCAAACTTACAGTGGCCAGTTTCATCTTTATTTTTGCATCATTTGAGAGCCTACCACATCCATGTTGCTCCAGTTACTAGGCACTACCTCGTTTGCTTTGATGGTCTCTTCTTTGCATTTTTATGCTTATGTTTTATTATAAGTCACATCAGGAAAGTGCATTAGGACATTAGACAGCTATGAAGAGCCTAGGACTGATTTGTCCTGTCATTTTCTTGTGTATTGTATAAGATCTAGATAGAGATTAGATTGCAGATATACATCTTAATTACAATGGGATATTTGATGTTTGTGATTGGATAATTATATGTGGATTTCTTAGGCATGGAAAAAATTGGGCTTAAATTATTTTATATAATGCTTGTAATAGGAATGCAATCAAACTTTAGATGTTTGAAATTCTAAATATTCAAAATATTTCTGGGTGTGATATTTAGTGGCTAACCCAAGAAACAACCTTCCAACCAAAGCATTCAAATGAAGCAGATAAAACAAAAGAAATGCATAACCTATAAAGACTGGTGATACTTGAATACGTAATTGGTACTTACTAAAGAAAACTCACATCCAACTTAAGTCATTAAATTTGGACCATATACTCACAGCATATAAACGAAGGTCAGCATTGGTGGTAGTGACCACATCATTGACATTATGTGACCTGGATGCTTCTTTGAGAATTCTTAAGCGGCCTTTATTTACATCAATTGCCAATACCATACCTAAAAAAAAAATCAAACTTAATTTCAAGCTAAATCTTTACAAAATGACAGGAGAAAATGAAATCAAAATCTATAAAGGCAAGTAGGAGAGTAGATTTGATTGTGAGCCACAATTATCTGCCACAGGTAAAGAAACTAAAGATTATACAAAGGAAAGCATGGTAAAAAAATTGTTAAATAGATCATTACTGTCAGATTATTATGTGCATCAGATGTATCACTTTGATTTTTTTTCCAATTCAGATAGGCTATCAAACTTATCAAAATCTATCTACTCTAAAGAACAATTTAAATGGAGCTAGTTCATAACTTGCTCCTACTAGCATCAACATTTGCTCTATTGCATAATAACAATTTAGAAAAGACTATAGTTGGATCATCATTTCAAATAAGCCAATTTTAAAAATGTGCTATCAAATGCTTCACAGTGCCAAAAGTAGGCAAAATATTGAAGATAGAACTGGATGACCACTTGATACCACTAGAACTTCTTCGGACATGTTTATCATGTCAAATGGAAATAGAGAACTGCACAGATATATGAAGAAACAACTAAACCAGGAACAAAAGTTTTGATTTTAGATTAGATCACCTTGGCTTTTTAAACGTGAAGCCAAAAAAAGAGTCTTTCCACCAGGGGCAGCACAACAATCAACAATGGTGTCTCCGGGTTGTGGGTTCACAACAGACACAACTAGACCTGTAATAAAATGTTGATTAATTTGTGTAAGGCTCTAAATAGGTTCCATATGGAGGCCCAAAAACAGATCAGATTAGATCTGAAAGATATTCTGATAAGCTGTGTAGCGGTTATCATTTTTAGTACTCCACATCTACTAGATTCATAAACATATTTAGGAACTCAAATTGAAAGAATAAAAATTGGCTAACAGCCTTTGTAACAGATAATAAGTGATGGATCATATAGCGAACTCCTATCAAATGCTTTGAGATAATTCGTGGATCTAAAGATAAAATTTGAAAATTCAGAATAATAAACAAACGACAATATGTTCTAGGGGGCATGAAGAAGGATACACAACTTAAATTTGAGTATGGAATTAAACATACCAACTAGGTCTGTTTTGACCTTGCATTTAAGGACCAAGAGTTATTAATACTTGAAATGACAGTTTCACTGGGTTTCTAAAAGCATGGTATTGCATACATCCATGAGGGGATCATGCTCATACTTGATATGAGCATGAAAATGGATGTGCTGGACAAGTATTTATTTTTGTTGTCTTGATGTCAACCTAGAAAACCTCGAACTGAAGGTCTTAGTAGCAAGCAAATGATTGAATAATTATCCATGGTGAAAAACCAACCTAAGAGCTTGTCTTGGTATGCCAAGAAAATGTAAAGAACTGAAAACTCATCAAAGACAGGGATTGAGAATTCTGTTGTAGATACCCGTAGTAATGGTTGTGTTGTGCACTAAAAAGAAAATTTTATTGACAATATCAGAAGCATAGTTTACAATTTTCACAAAAATAGACTGACATGATGACATTCACTAACCTGCACTCTCATCCTGAACTGAACATATACCTTCTTTTAATAGGCCAGCTTGTATAACAGTCTAATAGAAGTAAAAAGAAGAAGAAGAATTTAGAATCAGTAATATATTTAAAAAAGGCTATTCCAAAGTAACTAAGACAACAAGCATAACCCAAACTTGTTCTAATTTATTAGAGGTTTTGAGTTTGAAGCAGATACGACTTTTTCCGAATAATCTTTAGGTTGTGTTGGTGTCCCAAATATTGTAGTATAAAGTGGGACTGCTTCAACAAATATCCTAATAGGTTTAGGAAATTTCTTGATGGTTTCATACCTACTGAAAGTCAAGATCCAAATTAACATTTATTATTATAATTTCTGAAAAAAAATCCTTCCAGTGTTGGATTCCATTAAGAATGATTTGGGGGTTGGATACAAAGAGTTTTTTTCCGTGCCACTGTTCTGTTGCAGACAACATCACTAATCAAACTAAAAGCCATGAAATGACAATTTTTCCTTTTTTCTAACAACTTTTTCTTACATTTCCTTCTATCTCTCTTTAACAACAAAAAAAGTGTGAAATTCAAACCTCCTAAAGTGCATGCACCAGGTGAGTTTATGATAAATCACAATATTTGACTGTATTCTTTTCATAGCAAATGAGAAAACAGTTGCAATAGAACAATAGGCTTAACTAATTAGTTAAGTGCCATTGACATATTAGAAAACTACTAAAAACAAGGGGCTAAAGATGCATCAACCAAAACTGGTATATTTAATAGGAACAGTATAGGTTCCATAAGTATTGGTCTGTCAAGAATTTGAAAAGAGTGAAACCAAAAAACTTTGTACCGGGCTATCACAAACAAGTTCATAAACAAGGTGTTCAATGCAATGTTTCTGAGTGTCCATGTTTTTCAGTTTTGTTCATGTTTTGAACAGTATGAAGAGGGCTTGGCACCCCATTTTTGTTGACATTTGTGGTAATTTAAGGTCTATATACATAGGTTGTGTAAGGTCGTTGTGCAAAGATAAAGCTGCCCAAAAACAAGCCATCCAAGCAACCATTTTGCGTGATTTTTGAGTGTGCAGAGTAGTGCAAAATGTTAGCCATCTCAGCATCATAGAGCTACCCGGGTGACATAAGACTAGAAGGGCCTTTGGGGTACTATCTAAGGCTAGTTTGCTTCCTTGTTTTACAATAGTATCATGTGGGCACTGTTAGGAACTGTTAGGAACGAGTCGGCACTAAGAGGGGGGGGTGAATTAGTGCAGCGGTAAAAACGTCGGTTATGAAAATTCTTTCGTATGTTGAAAACCGATTTCGAAAACTTGAAAGCGTATGCAAGTGTAGGCATAGTAAAAGCACAGTAAAGAGGAGAGGCAGTTTGCTATAAGAGTAAAGTACTCAAAGGAAACGCAAACCATATTTTTATAGTGGTTTGGTCGTCGTGACCTACATCCACTCCGCCAATTCCTCTTCCGTAGAGGCCACCGCCATCCACTATCGGTCTTCCTTCAATAGGCGAAGACCAACCACCTTTTACAACTCGATTCTCCTTTTACCGAGTTTAGGAGATAACCCTTACACCCCCACTTACTCCTCTCTCAAACTATTTTAACACTTAGAACTTTTGAGAGGAGTTCACACAAGATTGCAGTAGCGTTTCTTTCTATTTTTACACTCAAGTCTTGTGTATCTTACCCAAGGATGAGAGAGGTATTTATAGGCCTCAAGTTGATTCAAATTTGGAGCCTAAAAACATCTCATCCCGAGTTCGGGCGGTACCACCGCCTGTGCTCGACGGTACCACCGCTAGTGTCAGTCTGACACTGCACTGGGCGGTACCACCGCCCAGACTGGCTGTACCACCGCCTATCACAATCTCAGAGACTGTGTCACGACGGTGTCACCTCTTGGGTCACTGTTTAGGCCTCTTATTGGGCCCAACACAGTCCTTACATTGGCCCAACTGGCCCATAATTGGGTTGGCCAAATTCCAAACTCAATTACGTGCTAACTACGAAATCTAAGATATATTTAAGCTAAACAACTCCGTAAGTCTTGGTTTCTTCCGGCGATCTTCTGACGAACTTCCGACGATCTCTCGGCAATGTTCCAGCGGACTCTCGGCAAGCTCCTGGACTTCACGACAATCTTCTTGGTAAATTTCGACGAGCTTCTCTGGCAAGCTCCGAGGCTTCTTGGCCAATTCCGACAGAACTTCCGACAAACGTCCGGACTTCCGACGAACTCTCGAACTCCCAACGAAATCGCGTCCTTGACTCCGGGACTTCATTTTGCTTTATGCCTTGCTATCGTAGTTAATCCCGCACATGTAAAAACACACTTCGATCTAGACAATTAATACTAAGCATGAATCATGTTGTCCGGTATGTCATTGGTCCCTCGACGCTTCGTCCGATTCTTCGGCGCATCATCCTCTCTTGCGGCTTATTGCCCAATCGACCAGTTGACTCCGCAACTCCGATATCCTTGGCGCAATATCCGCTCTTGTTGGCCCGATGCCCGAATCAATGGCCCAAAGCCTTCTGTCAATACGTCGACTGATCCTCCGGTTCGACGTCCAATCTTTTGACATGTTCCTCCGGCCCAACATGATTCTTCCTGCTTTAATTGTCTCATCCTGAACGAAGCATCCTACGTCACTAAAAACGCAGATCAAATCATAAACACTTATCAATTGGTTTCATCATCAAAATCCGAGATTCAACAGGCACTTGTGAGAACTTTTGGCTACGATGGACCGCCTTGGACCCTTTCTGCACGACCGTTCAAAGCTTGGGAAGTCTATGTTTGCATTTTGCATTATCTATCAAGTGTTTGATGAAATGTCTACTTGTGAGATCTCGAGTTATCAAGTTTTTTCTAACTCGTATTCTCTTTTGCAAATCCTAATTAAGAAATACTCTTTAGGGACCCTAAAAGATTATGGGGAGACAAATCCAGCTAAGTTTGTGACAAATAGTATCAGAGTAGGCAAGCACATTTAGAAATACTTGGCATGCAAGCATGGGGGACCTAGCGGGGCTGAGTTGAGGGCAATTATCACACACGATCATTTAAGGGACACAAGCATAGAGATGTAAGAAAAGGAGTTGCTCAAATAAACAGACATTCGAGATTAGCATTTAGATGAATTGCCACCTTTTATGTGAGAGGCATCACAAGAACAAGCGAGCTGAGAAAAACACGTAGTGCATAAAGGTTGGGATGGCTGAGTTCAAGCTGCGACTCGACATTGGCAACTGAACTTAACAGTGCTAAAGGCAAGCAGGGGTGCTTGGCAACAGATACGACCGTGCAAGGAGAGATGGGTTGCTCGGTGATAGAAATAATTTGTGTAAAGCTCGTAAAGGCGAGGAGAATTGCTAACTCAAAGAATTCAGTACTCATGCAAGGGCTTATATGCGGACAACGGACTGTTCGTGGCCATCCTAAGGTGCTCAAAATTCAACACCATGGAGCATGAAAACTTTGTCTTCGATATGGGAAAGATATGTCCGTAAGAGGCTGAATTATACAGTAGGTTCAACATATTGCTGGGCCTTATAGGGCGTAGCGAGGGCTGCATTAATGAAGAGTTGCAATCTAATAAACGCAATCGTGGTGGCAGAACAACGTATAGCTTATTAAGCAATGCGGAGTCCAAGGAGATGGTGGTCTCCGAAACTTTCAAAGGGAAGGATGCGAAAAGAAACTGCTCAAACAAGACATATATCTAGGAAGGATAAGTTTGGATTCTTTAAAGGGAGATTCATATGCAAAGGACCGCACATGTTGAGAAAGATACCTCAAAGACGAAAGCTCCATAAAGCTCAATGAATTAAGCAAGCAACGAGAAGTCGTCGCAAGATCTTGCACGAGGTTATGTGTTGGTGAACACATTACAAGATCAAGTGGGGCAGCGACCTAAAGCAACACCAAAACGAAGGCACACTTAAAGCTTATATGGAGATCGAGCTTAACGGAGGATTGACCTATAAAAAAGTGGGCATGAGGGTCACATCATCTCAATGCAAACCGAGGAGCAAAGTAACTTTAGTGGAACTTAGCGAAATACCCAAGCCACATGAAGAGAGTCGATTTAGAAGATAGAATATAGAGCAAAGGCGTGAAGCTTTCCTTGGACAAAGATCAAGGGAGGTTAAGGACGTGAACTTTTGGAAAGGAAGAGCTAAACCATATCGTTTCTTGCGTTTCTCATTTTGATGGAGCAGACTCATCTTGCATGATGCTAAGGTCAAAGGAAGCTTCGAGGCATACGCACCTTATCTCGATAAAGCAATTAATAGAGAGACTAAAGCGAGTCAACTTGTAGAGGCGAAGTTGGAGTCAAAATACTTTATGATGAGGTAAGAGGACGCGGAGGCAAGTACTATTGAAGAATATGCCACTGTGTTGTCATTTGAGTTGCTGCAAAGGAAGTTGTACATAACAGAGATTGTGCTAGAGGCAGAGGCCAAGGATCCAACAAATGGTGCACTAAACTATTAGTGAAGTCAATGGACCTCGAGAGTTGCTGGGTGATGAGCTGTCATAGAGCTATGCTTTGTCCATGTGTGACCCAAGAGCGAGTGGACGAAGGTCGATTCCCAAAGGAGGAAACACAATCAAGAGTGATAGAGACCTTGTGATGCGTCGACAAAGGCCACAGATGCAAAGATCGCAATTTGAGTTCATCACATCTATCAAAATGCATTGGAGATGCCAATATAAGGTAATATGGTGCAACGGATAGCAGTGGAACAGTTCAAGGCAATATGACACATATGGGAGAAGTCCCATGAGGAACTTGATTATCCAAAAGGATAATTGGAGCTATTGGGAGCTTTGCTTCGATGAGCAATATAATGGCAAGAACGATTATAGATTCAAGGAGTGAATATCATAGTACCGCAGAGACAGGTCTTTAGTGCATGCACCAAATCTTGCATCGGATATAAGCCTTGGTCATCAGCATATCGGGGTTGTGTATTACCAAAGGGGACTTCCGAATACAAGTACCAATGAGTCCCATGAGGGACTTGATTATACAGAAATATGATCGGAGTTATTGTAGAGTCAGATTGCTCTAGAACTCATATTCACATGAGGGAGCCTGACAAGTTAGAGGATAATGCCGAACAAGTGAACGTTACTACCAAGGACGTTAAGGAGCGTACAATAAATGCAAGCCCTACAACATGATGGCGGAGACCATATATAGGAGTTGCAGTATGCCTTCCTATCAACCAAGGTGAACTGCTTAAAGAACACAAAGGTGTTAAAGCAGATGGTCGAAAGAGGCGACGAAGCGATGACCAGTCCAGAAGGACTTAGCTATCCAAAACCAAAGATTGATCAAAATGGGGATGGATTCGAAAGAGTGCCACAATGCCACCGAGGTGGATCTATCAATCACGAAGAAAAGGGAGGCAGATGTAAGGTGATAGATTGTAGCATCGTGGGCTATAAAGAACTATGATACTGCAGAGGCAGGACTTCCATGGAGTCATCGATCCCTTCATGGTCATGAAACAAGCCGAGGTGGAGAATACGGTGACAGACTCCAAGTGTCAAGGCAAGATAGAAGGGTAGAGGCTAAAAAACTTCGTAAAACCACTATCGATGGCCTTCTCATCAAGATAGCCGAAAGTGAGGGACTTCGGGTCGATAGGAGAGTGCTTAACCAAGAAACGAAGTAGACAACCATTTTCGATGATTTATGGGTGTGCAATAGCAATGTAAAATGTCAACCATCTCAACACCGTAAAGCTACTCGGGTGACGCAAGACTGGATGGGCCATTGAGGTATTGTTTAAGGCTAGTTCACTGCCTTGTTCAACAACAGTGTCATGTGGGCACTTTTAGGAATTTTTAACCGCGGTGGACCACCTTGGACCCTTTATTGGGCAACCGTTTAGTTTAAAGCTTACGATGTCTATCTTTGTATTTTGCATTGCCTATCAAGTGTTTACTGAAATGTCTACTTATAGGATTCTGAGTTAAATGCTTCTTCTAACCCATCTTCTCTTTTACAGGTCTTTATGGGACCCTAAGAGGTTATGGGGAGGCAGATCCTTTACAAACGAACACATAAGTGAGCCGCACGACTTAGACAAATCCAAAGTCTGTGACTGGGCGATATTGCAAACCTTGATTAATAGTATCATATTATTAGCAAATCGATAACTATATACACCTAGATCAACATGGCATATCTGCATTCCCCTCTCTCAACTCGAATATATTATGATGCAAACTAGAGGAAAGATAACTATATTAGCCTCATCAACACAAATTCAAAGACATCCACTTGAAACTAATCATACACTTCACCTCATTTTATTAAATCAACCAAATTCACCAAACAAGAGGCAGATTTCAAATCCATGGCCGAAGCCCCAATGCCTCCCCAATATAACCCTATACAACAAAATCAAATCTTCTATAACATGAGTAAAGATCAAATTTTTCAGGATGTATATCACATGAAATCATCCTATACCATAATTGATACATGCCATATGAAGAACATCTCTCGCATTACATCATGCAACTAGTACATGTTGACATAGGAGAAACATTTCATGTAAAATCATTTTGGTAACAGTTGTATGGTAGGAAAAAAAACACATTACTAAATAATAAACATATCAGCATGATGACCAATATAGTTATCATTTACCGGTATGGACCGGTAAGGCAAACCATGATACCTGCATTCCAGTTTGGAGACGAACAAAATCCTCCAAAAACGTAGAAAGCTCATGAGGAACCTGAGCTCAACAATGATTAAGTTAAATACAAAGTCAAAATTCATATTCTATGAAAACTTAGTATTCAGTCATGCTAGAGGCATACAATTTTCTTGCATTAAGTGATTTACCAAAAGGGTTTTCCTTCTTACAAGCTATTTTTTTGTATAAAAGTTCAATAGGAAAACAATGGAGATTCACCAGGTTAAGATTATGACCTCCCACTTAATTTTTGAGAGACTAAGCCTACAGAGATAATAATTTATCTTAACGGCCTACAAAAGAAAAAAAAAAAAAGAGCAGGTTTTGAAGATCATTGACTAAGATATCCACACAATCAAGAAAACAGTTATTCTTCAAGAGTAAAGCATTTCAATAATTTTCTGATAGAGCCCTGACAAAGAATCATTTGTTATGCATCAAACAAGGTTGGGGTGGAAAGAAATCTTGAGCTCATTCCATTGCTTCTGCATCAGGAATCCAATTAAGTATGGCGACACACAATAGGATGCTAAAACTAGGTTTTATTCGACTAAAAATTAACCTATAATTTGGGTTCAGTTAAACAAAGATAGGACAAAGCCAGCTAATGTGAATTAAGAAGGGTAGTAGCTTACTAGTCTACAAGTCCATGTTTATCATCAACCCTGGTTAATATGAACCAATAATAGGTCCAATACTATCAGTACCCCACGTGGTTAAGTATCGTGAATAGCAACTCTGAACAGTAAGCCTTTTTTCCACTTAAGGAGGGGGCTTGGTCAACATGAGCTTTTAAAAAAGAAATAGAACAAAGCATGGTTCGTCTTACCGATCTATACCAGTATACCGATCGGCCATTGGTACGTACCGAACTATACCAATGTATCAATACATGGTACAGTGGGATGTACCAACAAACCGATATATATCACTCATACCAGTCCCTTATCGGGCCGGTACATACCACCTGTATTGGGCGGTATGCCGAGGTATGACAAACCTTCAACAAAGGCAGTGAGCCTCTCTTCTACTATTTTCAGTTTCCTCCTATTTTCTTTTCAAAATCTCTTGAATAATATCAGTACCTAGTTGGTGTTTTGTCACTGAAAAAAGTTGAGCAAATTTCAGTTAGTTTTAGTTTTTTAATAGCATTTCAGTGTTTCTGCTAAAATCAATTATTTAAGAATATATTTGAGCTGACATTTTAGGATAAATTGTGAGGTCAACCATCATTCTCTTTTCTCCCAGATCTCTTCAAGCGAAGTGATCAAAGTTTCAAATACCAGTATAACCAGTACATACTAATTGGTTTTTAACTGTTCAAACAAGAACTCGCATAGGGCCATATGGCTTGGTATTTATTGGTACGTTTTTTTTATAGTGATACTGATATCTTAAACCTGAAAAATCAATGGCAGGTGGCAATGGTACAACAACAGAGATGAAGCGTACCGGTGGAATAAGTTGGCCAGGACCAAAGTACCCTGTGGTCTTTAGCACAAACCTAGACATAAGCACATCCACCATCTCCTTCTAGGGTAAGCTCTGTCTTAAAAGAATACCTGAAACCAACTTAAAATCAGATGAATGAAATTTATCTCAGTCACTTTTAGCTTTCTTCTATTTCAGTCCAACTTCAGGACAAGTATTTGAGAAGCCAAAAAGTTGGGTTCAATCCAGAAATCAGACATCCTAGCTGGACCAAGCTCAATTGACCCCTATATCCATATCGCGATGGTGATCTAATTTGCACATGAAATTTTAGAGTAGACAGCAATAATTCCAGCCCAGCTCTCAACCAAGAAAATATTCCATTGTGGCATATCTTGCAGGTAGAACACAAGAAAGAATTATGCTATAAGCTCTACAAACCTTTTAGTCTGGTGGAAAAATTATACAATCAAAAGTGATCTTGATTCTTAGAAAACACACCCCTTAGATGCGACAAGGCATTCACACTAGAGAATAGCTTAAGATAAATATGTGCTAAAACAGAAAAGCCAAGCAAATCACCTTCAAAGATTTCAGCCGATTAACAAGATCATTTCTTGTATAACCTTTTGCAGTGTTAACCCTAACAGGAAGTGGCTTCACATCAGTTATACAAAAATGAAAAAAATGTAATAAGCTAAGATGAATTAACAAGATGATATGCAAACCTTAGGCCAAAGCATGGATCACTATTGTTCCAATTCATTAATCTCACAGATTCTTCGATCCCCCAAAATTTCATCCATCTCCTCACCATCCACTATACAGCAAAAAACAGTTTTGCTTGCACCTTTCTATATAAATTAAATGGGCCTCAACTTGCAAAGAATTCATACACATTGCTACCGACGTGACTATTAACACGGGAAAAAGCTCACCACAGGGTGGGAATGTATAATGGCCAGAGCACGAGCTTGTGCACGATCATCACCAGCTACCTTTGGGAGGGGAAGTGAATCTGTTTCCTGCAACAGAAAGGACACCAAGGTAAAACAAAAACAAGTTGACCAACAAATGTTTTGTCAAACAAACCCAATGACTATATGATCTCAGACCTTCAGCGAAACCAGCTTCCGCAAAATCCCATTCACCAAATTTCCTGCTCCAGGCCTTAGAGCCCTTTTTGCAAGTTTTACATTCTAAAATTTTAAAAGAAAGTTACAATAAGTTTTTGTATTGCCGTTTCAAAAAATCTAGTATAAAGAATAACCAAAGCAGAATGTATATCATTAGAATAAATGGACATCAGATAGTAAATCATTATCATCTAAATTCTGAAGGGCTTATAAATGTATGAGGCTTTTTTTCTTGAAACTCTTACACTCTTGGCCATACACTTCAAGATAATATGACTTTAAGCTCTTCAAGAACAAAAAGAAACACATTAAAATAAGAAAAATGAAGAAAATTCTCTAATTATTAACATGTATTCTTTTTTATGACCATATAACATCAGAAACAGCTAATCAACATGAATGTGACGTGCTTCAGCTGCAAGGCAGTTGTCAAAACTCAATCCGATATTTACATGCAATGCAAGAATGAACAAGTATAATAACTGCTTTCACTTTCCAGCTAAGTACACCACTGCAGCAGCTGTGATCAACAGGAGTTTGCCAAATAAAATGTTCCAAAAGCCACACAGAGGCTTCTTATCCCACTCTTATTTCCTAGAAGTATCCCGGATAAGCATCTTTCTTTCATTCACGTGAAAAGAAATATTAATCCTATCTTGTGCATCTTGAGTGTCTCAAAGATCACAGGCTAGCTAATTAGTCAACTAGCATCATGAAAATATGATAAACCTTAAAAAGAAGACGAGTTCTAATTTCAGGGTCACCAGCCTTCTACCTACACACTAAAACTCTGCAATTTCAGGCACCACTCAAACATCCCTTCCAAGTGCTGCTTACCTCTGCTATTGGAACAGTGTATTAACTTATCTCTAGAACACCAAGAAATTCTGGATTTTATGAACATCATAAACTCGATGCATGAAAGTTTCCTTCGATTAATTACCCAACAAAGAAGGTGTCTAAACAGAATTTACTGATACAGAAAGAAAAGAACCAAGCCCTGAGAACATAACTCATAATCCTGAAATAAAAACTTATAACACAAGATCCATATGTTTAATCCAAGAAGCTTTTAGTAGGTCAAACATTCTAAATATTGAAAATTATGCAAATTTGGTAAACTTGACAACCATCTACATTGCATAGGTGGCACAGGGACCATGGATCAAATAACAAGTCATGGATAAGAGGAATAAATATTTAAAAAGCAATGCAAATTGAATAGAATCATGAAGTTTCATAATACATAGCATCAAACTGAAAGAAAAAGTTTTGCCTTGCCTCTTTCATGATACTTAACGTAACAACAATTCGGGACCTATTTATACTTGTACATAAACTAATTTCAAAGTAGAGAGAAAGAAATATACCTCGTCAACAACAGCATATGGGGGCATGCCTAACTTGATGATCTCATAAAACCCAATACGAAGTACCTAAACATTGAAAAGAATGCTGCTATATATATATCATGGAATAACAAGTTAACGACAACTGAAATTTTAGAGGTAATGTAAATATTATCAAATATTATGATATGTCAAATAAAACATATGAATCAAAACAAACTTCTGTAATAAGCATCTCATATAACATAGCCTCAAAATAAAATCTCAGAGACCTAGATGCCACACTTTGTTAGATATTTTAAAATGCGCTGATAGTCTCATTGCTCCAAGCATATAAAAGAATTATACTTGCAACAGAAGTGGTTCCATGTCTCTAAACATCTTCTCCTCACTGCAGAGAGACATGATGAGATGATCAAGATAGCGTCTCCAACGGACAGTTCCTCCAACGATTTCAGTCACCTATAACAGAATGTACATTACATAAGTTCATCAAAGAACACAAGATTCACGTGGGATGAGTTAATTTGATTTATTTCATTTACGTAGTGAAATAAAGTTCAGATTTGGTGATGTCCATCTTCCCTAAATAGAGATAAAAAAGAAAAAGAAAATAAGGCGAATTTCATTAAAAATAAAAAAAGATATATAAATGGGGCACCAATATTCAAGTAGTAAAAAGATAATAATAATTTTCTTTACCGAGTTCTTTTTTATCAGATCATCCATATTTTTAGACGCAATTAAAGACACCACCACGATTACGAGTAACCATGAACGTGTCTACCACACAAGACCGAAGGGAATGAGAAGAAAACAAGATGCAGCTCTACGCTACCAATCTCATATCTCTATCATCCAAATCCCGCGTACGGAACCCAAGCGTCCTCTCGACGTAACCCATCTCATTCTCCGCCGAATTCCTCCCTTTCTCGTTCAACAGGTCTGCGAACGCACCACCATGCTCGATCCTTAACAATCTCACTGCAGATGCTATTCCTCACCAAGAAACAACAGTCGAACAATCACGCATTCTGAAAGGAGAAAAAAAAATCCAAACGAGAGAAATGAAAGCAATCTCTGCTTCCTTTCTAGACCCATACCGGCTCTATGGGGGGAAATCTCCGCAATTAGATTATCACTGGTCTTCTTTCTTGAACCAGGAGGTCCTGCAGCATGAATTCGCTCGTTGGGTTCAAGAAGATTCATAAAGTAAGCAAACCAGAAACAAAAGAGACCTGCTGCGCGATGCGAGATCCGGGCGTTGGGAATCGAGGCGAGAGGGGGGAAGAAGGTAGAAGAGGATTTCCTGGGGGCGGACAGGGCACAGACGGAGGAAGAGAGGGGGAAGTGGGAGTAGGAAGAGAAGGCTCCCACCATTTTTGCCTTGAATGGAATTCTTGAAAGATGAGACGGATAAAATATCGTGATGTGAAATTGGGTAGTCAGCATTCGGTTGTATATGTAGCCGTACCCACAGTGTTGATGGGCTGTAAGAAGCTTCTCTATTGATTACGGCTTTGATGGGCCGCCGTTGCGCGTCTTTTCGGAAACCCGACAATCTTGTGGGTTAGATGGGCTCATTTTTTTCGTTGTAATGGTTAACCGAAACTAAATCGGTTTGGAATTAGAATCGAAATCGAAATGTGCGAGGGTTAAAGACGAACCAAAATCAGGGCCTAATTTCTAAAAATTAAAATTGGTTCTAAATCGATTAAATATAAAAAAAGGAAGAATAAAACATAATGACATGGGTTGAAATTTTGGTGGAATAATTTATTTTTTTTATTAATAGGTGATAGGATTATAATTTTGTATTTTTGACACACTCTCACACACGTGCGTGGCAGATGACTCAACCTAACAAACATGAAAGTAAATCGGAATATTTATTTTATAAGCGTACAGGACTAATTAGATGTACATTCACTCCATCAATAACGATTCCCTGCTGCTATGTTCACTGTTTTAATAACGATTCATATGCAGAGAAAATAAACTCTCAAAAGCTCTTTTAACCCAAGCTTCGACAACAATTAGCATAACTAGCTTTTGAACATAATAGATGATTTGACAGTAGAAAATATTCATCATCGAATCACATCGAATGCATTTTTGTGGTGGAATGAATTGTCCTCACCAGATTTCGAGATTACCCTTGTTTAAATACATCAAGTGGAATGACATCATATTGTATTTGAGCATTCTCAGCCAGGTGCAGACATCTCAACAGCATCAGTGCATCACACTGCCCAGATTGAAGTGTTGTTACTTGGTATAATTTGATCATGGAGTCTGATTCATCTGATTCCTTCATGACCAAATGATTTAACAGAAACAGATTTTAATATGCAAAAGATAGTTAGACATCTGTGCTGCGGTTGTAAAAGACCAAAGAAATGTCAAATCCTCAATTACAATTATAAATCTCTTGTAATAACACACAAATCAACAGCACATAATAGGACAATTTTGATAAGCTAAAAGGAGGAATGACCTATGAAATACATGAATCAAGCAGCAGAAGACATGGATGCCACAAAGGTCTCCCAGACTTACTGTTTGAAGAGCTTTCTGAACCCGTTGAATAATGTTAGTGCCCTTAGTTCGCCACTCCTCATGTCCCTCAGCCGCCTCCGCAGTATCTGCAGCCCATGTTCAGTAGACATCAATATAGAGCAAGTATGGGATGAGCAAGAAAATATATTGCTAATCAGTTATAAATAAGAGTAAAATATATGTTGTTTGTAAGATTATTATTATAGAAAAGTAATCTAATATATCAAATTAGAAAAAAAATTATTATGTTTGGCAAGATTGTAATCTTGGCAAGCAAAAACGTTGTGATTGTTTGATGTTCCAATGGCACCAGTTGCTACCAAAAACTTATTTGCCTGCCGCCTTTAACTTAGTCAAAGAATTTACAAAAAGGGGTGTGTGTGCTGATGATAGCTAGGCCATAAAGAAAATTTAGGGTAAGCAGCATGTTGCCTGTCGCCTTTCAAGGACTGTCATATGGGTAAGCATGCTAATGAAACAATTTATAGAGAGTTCAACATTTCTAAAACTAGTCAATGCATGCAGACAGTGTTTGTACAGGAAAAATAATCACATAGCTCACATATTGTGTTCGATATAGAATTCTCCGCTCGCTAGTGCATAGATCTGTTGCCATCTTTTTCAAAAGTGATTTCCGGTTGGCTTGCTTTGCACTGAATGTGCCTGAATCAGGTGTACCACCACCCTAGAAATTCATGAACCACGTTAAAGTCAAGATGTTCTAAAGTCAATAAGATCGAGCAAGAAAAGGTAGTTCATTGAGTAGTAAGGCATGAACTTTATCCATAGAGTAGCATCAAATTTATAAGCTTGATAATTTTAACCAGAATACCAGCTGGAATGATAGGATCCTCCTTCCTACATACTTGATGGGGTTTGTCACTTTTTCAGTTCTATGACATTTTTTAATTCCCGAGATTCTAAAAGCAGTTGTAATGAAAATGACTGATTGCTTAGCATATATGTAGAATTCAAGATCATAAGCGGCTAATAGATCTATTTTCAAAAAGGTTCAGAAATTAAGGTAAAAAAATAAAATGAGTAATTAGGAATAGTTCATGTAAAAGTTTGAACAAGCAAGACATTTTCATCCTAAATGCTTATTCAATCAGAAAATGGCATTGTATACAAATTGAAACACTAATTACATATTTGATAAACAATATTGAAGTGATATAAGTCAAATGTCCACTTGTTAGGAAGAAAAATCATGCATGGGATGCATTGGAGTAGGATGCCCTAGGCACCATCAGACTGCACAAGATATGTAAAACTTTAAGGCTCATGTGGCACAACTACAAGGTCTTTATGACATCTGCAGCAAAATAGTCGCCGTTAAGAACTATAGTTATTTCAATCTAACTAAAATAAGTCATTTGGAAATAATGTACAAATGGTCAAGAAAACAAATTATTTACTATCAAATAACAGTAGAAGAATATAAATAAAATAAATTAAAAGATGCATAATTTGCGCATGAAAGTAGATAATTCATTGGTTTATTTTGAACATGTAAAACAAAAGGTCAATGAGAAAAGGCCACAATTCTTTGCAGGATTAAAAAGAACTAAAAACATATACATGCTAACTTATAATAAAATTTCTCATGCTACCTGCAGAGAAACTTTAACGAAAATAAATTAAGTTAAGATTGGGCTACATTAGGGGCAACAGATGTAACTTAATATGTTAATTCTGAACTTTAAAAATCAAATTCCAAATATCATTAGAAGCACACAAACATTAAAAAAAAAGATGAATAATGACCTCTAAGAATTTGCTGTACTTAGATATGCTTGATTCGCAGCAATCCAAAATGAACTGAAGAGCTTTCTCTTCCAACTCCGGATTCTTTATTCCCATCTTCAATGCAGTCCCATTTGATGAAGCAGCAGCCATCTACAATTTCGTGCATAAGAGAGGTTCAATTCCAAAACAAAAATCTAGATAGGAGTGATACACAGCATCACTTTACATAAGTACTTGATGGGAAAATGAAGAGGGATCAGGATTCAGAAAAGAAAAGAATATGCCCATTATCATAATTGTAAATGTCCTAAAAGTTTACAGTAAAAGGGCCCTTTCAAGAGAGATTAGTAAGGCAGATGTATTGTGTCTCCATATAGCTTGGTCAACAAAGACATTACTAATGGCTTATGCCACTATCTAAGCTATGATAGATACTCTGACTTGAATGAAGTCATTAAGTGTCCCAGTTTCTGAACTGGATGGAGAAGTTTAGCATCCCTTTCTTTCAAGAACTCAACATGTGGACATTTTTTTCCTAAAATGTGCAGTACACTTTCAAACTGATGAGTAGAAAAAACCTGTGAAAACAGAAAATGTACAGCAGAGTTAAGCTTTGTTAACAACTTTGATATGTAGGACCAAATTAGGCTATGTTTACAAGCTTTCTTATCAGGGTTTATACCAAAAACAATAAAAGATACAAGTGCAGGAAGGAACATTTTAAAATGTTATAATGTTGCTTTTACTGGAATATGAGGTACGCTATTGCTAACAACCAGTCAATGATTAGAAGAAATTGAAATATTCTATCCAGTAAAAGCAAAATGTGGGTGCTTGTTGCATCATGTTCCCTCATAATATAAACAACCCAGTCAAAAAGAAGAGGGTTGTCACCAGCAGTAATGTTATACCATTAATGCTAGATATGACAAATATGATAGATAACAATTATCTAATTTTCTCTCTATCTTTTATGTCCCGCCTCAGTAGTTAAAATGACTTGCAGCAGGCAAATTTAATCATCTCAATCATTAAACAAGTAAATCAACGCACTGTAAAATAAAAACTAAAAGTTCTGTTTAATATTTATGTAAAATTCTTCTTATCAATTTAGGGGTTACATAAGTAACCTTTCGATGGCCAAGTAATTAACATCAGAAACATAGGTGCAAGATTACCACCATGCCATAGGCATGCAGACTGCCAACATCATCACGATGCAGGTTCGCCTGCAGCATGAAAAAATTTTAAAAAAATGGAGAAAGGGAAATAGACCAATTTATATGGTATTCTTGGTGGACGTTGTATGACATTCTCTGTTGATTCTTCTGGTGGCTTATACTCTACTAACAGGCTTCTCATTCTGAAGTTTAACAGGCTTCTCATTCTTGTTGCACACCAATACTAAGAAACTCTCTGCATTATATCAATAAACCTTCAGGATCAGGTTGCTACTGGTTCTTTTTCATTCATTTCTAACTAGATTTTGTTGCAGTTCAGACATTCATTTGAAGGTATAGAATTTCTTACAATGCTATAACAAATCAATGGTGTAACAATGCCATGAAGCAGATCTTCATACTATAGTACAGTGAAATCTGATTACATGTTATGGATATGCAACATCTTACTATATATCAGTATGCATTTAAAATACATACTTCATCGGTTCATATTACCACTTTCACAATGTTTCAATCAGCATATCTGACAGCACTAAAAAAAGCTATTAGATATTATAAAAAATATCACTCAGACTCAACCAGTTAATAGGATGAAACATCTGAAGTGTGTTTCCCAATGACATCCATTTGTAAATGCTGAGTTTTAGCGTTATATTCTGCAGATACTGTATCTCCCTGTATATCTTGTATTATTTTATTATTAACTTTTGTGCTTTTTTATCCATTCAAGCAATAATAAAGGTAGGCACTTATTAAGTTATTCATGTGTTGCAATGCAGAAAAACTATCAAACCTCTTCAAAGTGTTGGCTCATATTTGACGGGCTGACAACAAGGTAGGAGTATGCCATCATCTCCACTGGCCAACCAGTAATCTGCAAAGGGAACCTCTGAGGCCTGCTCATAGTGGACCCCAGATTATATTCATTAGCTTTCACATAATTTAAGGGTGAAAAGAAATGCTCAAACGCAATGAATCTAGATAATCATTTGTTATTCAACTACTCTTTCAGTCAAAATTATCTTTATTTTAGCAAAATATTTGTTCTGTTTTGTCTTTAATAATGAGACAAATCTACTAAATGATTCCATAAGTGATGACAAAGATGAGAGACTATATTTTCAAGAAAACAGTAAAAGTTTGAAATTTAATTTTTATAATACAAACTTTCCAAACTGTTTTATTTATTTAAATATCCTCCCTGTCGCTGACTCCCAGAATCTCTTTCTCTTCAGTTTTTCAACACCATAAATTATTATGTTCTTGGTGCAAGAGATAGAGAATTGACTATACAACATACAGTTCCAGTATTAAGGTAAAATCATTCCTCAAATTTCTTTATTAAAACATAATTGACATTTAATTTTCAAAAGTTACTGAATTAGGTAAAGCTTAAGACTAATTTGTAGGCTTACGCCTACTCAATATTGTCACAATTATCTTCATGACTATATTTCGGCAGTCTTCGGCACTTACGTTGACAAACCATGCTTTCTTAGTGCTTCCAGTTTCTCCTTGTAGCATTTGTCAGATTTATTTAGACTCAATGATAACTCAACCGAATCATTTGGGTTTGTACCCTCTTTTGGGACAAAACCATATGACAGCAATAGCTCTCCATTGGATTTCTTGCCATAGGATATAAAAACCTGTAAAGCATGTTTCAGTAACAAGTCAATGATTAATGGTTTACAGCTTATTTATTCAAATTATGGACAAGTAATCTAACAATTGTTCAGGGACAAAATGCAGGCAACTTCAGTAACCAGCAAGTGAGCTGTTTACATTGCACATTATTTTATTTAATCTCTGAATCATGAATGTAGACAATCTTCAACTAAAGAACATTAGGATAATTCATGGAGCACTTTTCGTCCAATACGGATGATCTATCCAAAAATAGTGTATTAATACAGGCAGCACTTCAGTTCAACAGGGAATAAATCTCATGGCAGCTGGTTAAACATAAAGAGTGATTTAGATTTTTCCACAGAAAAAGCAATGGACATCAATAAATTCTTGCATTTTTTTTATTTCAGTATAAGGGTAAAGTTTGTTAAGCAACTTGGTCTCCCAGAAGGTACTGTAGGCCTAGTCTGTTCTCCTTTTTGACCAAAATAGATAGGAGATCTACCCTCTTTGATCATCAAGAATTATGTCAGGATGCCCCACCTAAAGGCTTTATGACAAAAAATTCATTGTCAAAGGAGTGGAGGTAACAACTGAAAAAAGTCAGACACTAGTGGGACAACCCCAGTTTGCACGAAGGCTAATCTAATGTTGAAGAAAGCTCTGTAGACACTGAAGCTTTCACACTCGATTTAAGTTTGTCAATGCCAAGATAATATAGCATTCAAATGTCAGTTTATTATCCTCGGTCTACTTAGCATACCAACAATATCCAGCAGATAAAAAAGGTCTCATGGTGGCAAAAATGGCAAGGTGGTAAAGAGAAAATCTTTGAAAGACATCCATTAACTCCAGCTAATAAACTATCAGATACAGATCCAAAATTACCTTTTAATTTGAATTTCACTCCTATATTTTCATTTCTTTAGGATATTAAAAAAATTATTGAACCTGAGCAAAAATGTGGAAGATCAAAAATTAAATCCTGGTGAACATAGGTTGAAAAAAGTAGATTTAAAATGGAACAACTGATAATTAGAAAGAAATTTCACTGATGAATCAATAGTAAACTTCTGAAAGCATAGACATAGATGACTAAACTTCCCATTCTCATTTGGTGGAGGAATTATGAACAAACTGATTTTTATTTAAATGCAATTGAGAATGTACCACATATAAAGGATAATAAAACCAGCTAAGAATTTAAATTTTCACAGGAGCCAACTATGTTTTGTGTATCAATGATTTGCCATTTTTCCTAAGCCTGCATACAATATCTAAAAACCGCAATAACAGTCATAATCTAGCAGTCTTTATAAATCATTTGAATTGAGACATTTGACACTCCAATTGATACCACTAATACTAGAACGATACACCATAAATGAATAGATAGAAAAAAAATTGTTTACCTGCTCACCTGGTTGATATGACTGGTCAGTCATAAAAAATATTCCCTGTGATGACTTGTCATAGTCCAAGAATGTCTCCACCTAGACCATTCGTACATAAATTTAATTTAAATAAATGTGCTTCATTAACAGATCAGGAAAGATAAAAAGGAATCCTATAGGTCTAAAACAAAGTTAAACTTAAAGGATGGTAAAGCAAGGAGACACGCATCAGCTTTTCGACTGATGCTAACGCATTATAGGTTTTGTGAATGTCAACCATACCACTAAAATATGTAGACATGACGTAGGGAACTGACTGCTTTATGCATGCATAAAGATTGAAATAGGGTACCACAAGAATCACAATATTATTAGAAAAGCATGTTGTCTATGGAATGAGATACCTGTGGACTATGGTTAAGCATGTCAGCCCAAGGAACTAATGCCACTTTTCCATTCATCGAGGGCAAACGAACCTTTCAAACCAAGTATAGAGTTCACAGATCATCAGCTTATAACTAGTAGGAATCAATATGTCAACAAAAAAAAAAGTTTCAAAGATGAGATGATATCGAGCATGAAATGGCATTATTTAGGAAATTTACAAAGCACATACTAGTAACATATGTCTTACTTACCAACCGTGAGAAAAGAATGCCAAAGGACCACAGAAATGAATCAATGTTGAAAACCTGGAATGAGTTATAAATCCCAAAACAATCAGAATATACACATTACACAATTATCACAACGGACAGTTAAACAAACAGAAGAGGAAGGTGGTAGATTAGGTGTGAAGAGAGACTTTAAACATTCATATGTTAATAAGCTTAAAATCATTTGTGTGACTGTGAAGGCAAGATAAAGTGAATTTTTTGCTGAGGCAAGTTAGATCAAGAATGGTTTATTATAGTGAACAGAAAGATCTTATCATTCACTAGAATTACCTCCTCTGGAAACAACTCAGGATGCTTAGAAAATATCCTTAGTTTTAAATCATTATACCTGCAGAAATGCACCATATAAGACTTGGTGAGTATACTCAAACAGAAAAACTAAAAGAACACTATCAATATAAAGTATGAAACCATGAACTATTTGCTATTAGGCTGATTAAAAGGAAGAACTCCATACGTTCCTATGACATTGGTAATCCGTTCAATTGCTCTTGCTCTTATTTGTGAAGCAACCAAATATGTGTCTAGTTCTGAAGGTGTCCTGCAATGACATATAAAGTCTGTCGAGAAGAAATTTGAGAATATATCCTGATAAATTGGAAAAAGTGAAGCACTTCTTCACACAATAGCTATTCAGTCACATTCCATGTCATAGATCCAAGAATCTCAACATACCAGTACAAAAGTGAGTAAGGCTGCCTAGGCAACGCTGAGATATATCTATTCCATCTTGAAGAGCTCATGAGACTCGCTTCACTTAGCAGGTAGGTGGCAAGCAATGGCCAATCTGGTACGGAATTTTTCTTCAGCACATTTCCCACTTCTGGACAGCTCCATTCCTATAAAACAAACTTGAATTCTAAAGCTGGCCAGTAGATGGATAACATGTTGGCCATGTCAACTAAGTGAAATTCACTTTAAAATAAAGAAATGACTAATTCTCTTTAAGGAGAAACTTTTTTCCAAATTAAAAGGTACAAGAGATAAATATCAAATGCAATCAAAATGTACTAATCAAACATCAAAGATACACAACATTACCAAAATAAAACCTACTCTGCGTTCCAAATAATAATATAATTGCCTCATGGATATGCTGCACCTTGTCTTTGCATGATGACATGGGCCCGCCAGCCTCGAAATGCTGGCTGCCATGAATTAAAAAATGGTAAAGAAAATATAGAAAAATCTAACAAATGATCTGGAAAATAGATACGAATCAATAAAAAGTATCTTTATATAAATAATGGAAAAATATGGACGTAGTACTGGAAGAGATCAGCAGAACAATTAAAATTAATGAGCACCCTTTTTACAGCAACCAGAAAAAGAATCCTCTTTGATTAACTGTTCCACGATCCTAATTACACTGATTTTGGATCTCCGCAAAACAGCTCACTTTTTATTCTTAATGTTTTATGACTGTTAAATAAGTGTGGTGCCAGTTTGTGTCTTGGTTATCTTGGTTTTGGCCATTCATATTCATTCATTTTTTTCAAAATGCAACCTGACAGTCATTTGTATCTCCACCTTTTATATATGTATGCACAGATAAAAAGTTTTCTGTAAGATGTATATAAGTGGAAGGAAAAGTAATTCTTGATAGAATGATACAATAATTTAATATGAAACATTTTAACACTTTCTTTTAAATTCAAAATTATGAGCACCAAGTCAGTCAATTTCAAATATATAACTTCTTGAACCACCAGGAGGTAACATGATAAGCTCCTTAATGGAAAAAACCAACGCCAATTACCCTAAAAACATAATTCGTGATCTACCATGGCAAGATTGTGATGCCACAGACAAGGAATCCATATTTGCTAACTAAAGCATAAACATTTTGAGGAAACAAGTTTGTCATCACCGAGTCGGCCGTAATAACGAGCGAGGGCGGCACGAAGAGGAGCTTCTCCCCCTTGCGGATGTTATTGAGTGCGACGAGGCCCCTCTCACCGACATCCACCCGCTGTATCTCCAACTTCTGAGGGGGGAGGCCGGAGGCCGACAACCACCGCTGCAGCGCGGAGGCGCTCTCCAGGGACTCGATCTCGCAGCCCCAGGGGATGACTCGGGCCTCGGAGCCAGTGAGGGCATTGCTCGACGTGGCGGAGACGGAGCATCGGATCCGGCAGCGGACGACGTGAGCAGAGGAGGAGGAATCGGCAGCGGGCCGAGGCGGAGGCCACGAAACCTGAGGGAATTGGGCACTGCCCAAGACTCGACAGAAGATTTGCGCCATCTGTGACGGGGCGGGAGCGAGGAGGGAAGCTTTGGATGATGAGATAAAAGAGAAAGAAGAGGGAATCTTATCTGGAATCTTTTGGCCTACGGGAAATGGTAATGTAAATGGAACAAAAGTTCTTTTATTACAGGATATTGCTATTTGTAATTTATAATAGTTAAGAATTTTGAATGTTTTTAAATTATATATATATATATATGTCATTAATTTATAATTTAATTCACCTATGATCCCTTTTTCCCTTTCTTTTTTTTCTATTCCTCTCATAATTTTAAATATTTTAAAATTATAAAATTACGGATCGAATCGAAACCAAAATCGTCGGTGTTTATTCTTGAACCATTGATTTTAGGGCCAATGATTTTGATTTTTCAGACCTAGAATTCATAATTAAATCACTCGTGATTGATTCGATTTGATTTCAATTTTTACTTAGGTTTCGATTCTGTTTTAAACCAAATCGTTATCTTGCCTAATCTTTTGTTTAAGAACTCTCACACGGTAGGTATCTAAGAACTCTCAGAACCATAGTTCAATCTACCCACATGATATGTAATGGATTCAACAACTCCTTAAAAATTTATATCATTCCAATCAAATAATATATATAATTTAATAAATTAATTATATCATTCAACAATCATGTGCTTCTACTGTATAACTATGAGAAATTAAAAAATAATCATATGAACAAACCATAGTTCAATAAACATTATAACTTAAATGCTAGTAAAAAATTATCATAAATAAATATTTAAAAAAAAATATTTTTTTATGTATTCAATACATACTTTCAAAATATATATAAAGATCAAATCTTTTTTTTATGCTTATACAATTTATAAAACATCATAAACATATTTCAAAAAAGAATATATTTAAATATATTTTTATAATGAAAATATAAGTATAACTAATGTCACATATCATAGCATAAAATATTCATAGTGCAATGACTATCATTCATATAAATATAGTTAAGAGTTCATAAACATAAATATAATTGAGATATAACTTTTTTACTATTATTATGTTACTAAAAATAATACATCAATAACTTTCTTACGAAGCAAAGAGTTTTAATAAATCTTTTTTTATATATATAATTTCAAAACTGTTGCAATCATGTATCAATTAAGATCAATATAATCAAACATTTTACAGTCATTTTCAATATGATGTTGGACAAACATTTTCAGATAAATTCTGAAAAGAAAACTTAAAAATATTTATAAAATAATAAATAACAATTCAAACTATATGTTTTTCCAAATTATCAATATTTAAATCTTTTTACAATAATTTTATGTCTTGCCACATTCCAACAATGAACACAATCTTCAAGAAAGCGAGGGTATAAAATTTGGAAGCCTAATATGAGGAAAAAACATATATGCAACACTGGAAGACCACAAAAATAATGTAAAACAGCATTAATGTGATACGACGAGTTTGGGATGGTTGGGATGTGCTGCAGCAATTTCTCTGATCATGTCCATGAGCCATTTGTCGTCGATGGCCACCTGAACCTCCTTGAGTTTTGAAAGATATTGCATTGTTGAGATGCTTTCTTCACGGAAACGACCTCGAAAGTCGATTAATCTCTTGGCAGTGTCCCATCTTCGAAACTCACATTCAAAGAATCAGTTTGGAATATCCTGAGGGCCGTGAATCCTTCACGACCGAAATGCAATGTTTCCGGTTGTTGTTCTGATTCTTCATCCCTCCAGAATTGGAATGAACGAGGTCCAAGTTTCAACTGGACCAGTCCAGGAAGATCTTTTAGGACTTGGATAACATCCGGGTCAAGATACGTGTTCCTCAGATTTATCTTGGCGATCTGATCCAGTTTCGGGAACCAAGCAGGTAGAGTTAGTATAGGACCATTGAGATGTAGTTTCCCGAGGAGCAAGGGTGCTGGATCGAGGTCATTTAAGTATCTAATTACTCGATCACTTCGGTCGGTAAGTGTCAAAGATCGAAGGGAGCTGTTAATTTTCTGAAGCGATGTGCATAGCTCCCTCCTATGTTTTGGAAGATCATAATTATGTACAACCGATCTGCAACCATGAAATCTACTTCCCCGCTTGTATCTTGATTTGAACAACACTTAGCTTCTTCAGTTGGGTAAGTTCACCAATCTCCCGCAGCACAGCTGCGTCGGTACCAGTTATCACTCCTAAGCTCTGTAGTCCCTTCATCTTCCTTATTCCTTTGGGTAACCTCAAACCGCCATAAAACCAGCTGCCACGAAGATATGCCAGTCTCTGGAGCTTCACAACTGCTCTAGGTAACTTTTGTATATCGGTTTCTCTGACGTCCAGAAATTGGAGGTTCGACAGGCCGCCGATAGAACCCGGAAGCTTCTTGATGCATCTACTGTTTCGCAGAGATAGGAAGTTCAAAAGAAACAACTTGCCGATATTCTTGAGGTGAACGTGACGAAGGCTCCTACATTCTTCCAAGTCCAACACTCTGAGCAGCCTCATCTTCCCATAGTCATGCAAAGGTATCACGTTACCAAATGTTGTGAGCGATCGGATCTGAGATAGGTAGAGATCATCTTTGATGGTGCTTTCTCCTTGTTGTGCTAAGCGCCTGACCTTATTGTGGGGGATCATCGTAGAATGCTCACTCAGCACCGTTACGAAGTTCTCCTCTATCATGCACCCGACGAGTTTTCACCTTTCCAACAACATCAATCTTTGATGGTTGGATCAAGCTGCGGTCGATTAGCTCGTTGAAGTAACCCTCCGCAACTTCCTCATCGGACATGCCACGCCTTCCATTGAGCAGTCCTTCGGCTATCCATCTCCTCACCAAACGCTTTCGATCGATCTCATAATCTTCAGTGAAAATACTGAGGTACAAGAAGCAAGGCTTGAGATGATAAGGTAAGTCATTGTAACTCAAAAGAAGAAGTACACGATTTATATTCTTTAGACTATCATTGGTTTCCAACTCGATACCAAGGTGGTCGTGCAACTTCCGCCACTCGTCCGGCGTCTTTTTGGGCTTGGCAGCCAGCGCGCCAGCTATTGTGACGATGGCCAGTGGTAGTCCATCACATTTTCTCAGTATGTCTTCCGTGAGCTTTATCAAATTTCCAGGGCATGCAGATCCGCCAAAGACCGTTGCAAAACAGCTTCATGGACTGCCGAGTGGAGAGAGGTTGGCCTTCATGGATGTGATTACAAAAGCTGTTATGAGAACAGCAAGTGTGTGCCACAGTCTTATTTCGAGTTGTGACTATGATCCTACTACCATTTCTATTATAAGGTAATGCAGCTTTGAAGCTATCCCAGGCACTAATTTCCCATGTATCATCAAGAACAATCAAATACCTCTTGTCCTGGAGATGGCCTATTCGGATCTTCCTCTCGCATCTTATCTAGAAGTTGCTCCACGACCTCTATATCTTGATTCGAAGCAGAAAGTTGTAGGACATGTTGAATCTGCTGCACGCTGATGGAGAGTTGTCGAATGATGCTTCGCAGAAGCACCTCCACCTTGTAAGATTGTGACACGGCAATCCAAGCGTAGGCATGAAAGTGGCTACCGGTTACCTTCAGGCTCTCGAAGACTTGCATGGCTAGAGTCGTCTTGCCCAGGCCACCGAAACCTACGATTGCAATTTCACCATACTGGTCCTGGCCCTCCTTTGTAATCCGTTCGATGAGATCGTCCCTCTGCGGCTTGAAACCGACGAGCCCACCTTCCTCCGACACAGAATGATAGTTATGGGAAAACCAAGCGCCGGCCACCGCCTCATCAGCGGTTATCATTATGATCCTACTCCCATTCCTTTTATCGGGTAATGCATCTTTGAGGCAGTCCCAGGCAGAATTGATCGGTATATCATCTAGGACAACTAAATACCTCTTATCCTGAAGATAGTTTATGATCGTCGTCACTAGATCCACCTCTCCCAGGTTATCCAGACATTGCTCCACTCCCGTTTTATCCGAATGCAACGCCAGATCCCCGAGAACCTGCGGAATCATCTCACCACTGAAGGACAGCTGTCGAATCATGGTTCGGAGAAGCTCCTCCGTGTCGTGCGACTTTGACGCCGTCACCATAGCGTGGGCTCGGAAATGGCCGCCGGGGATAGCCAAGCTGTGGTGGATTTCTCTGGCAAGAGCCGCACCAGCAATGTCATCGGGGGAAACTACCCCAACCTGAAGCTGAGGCTGCTTCGCATCCATTAGCCACCCAGGGAGCTCATCCCCACCCATCCTCTTGGGTCGAACTTCTCCCAGACGAACAGAGTGCGGCGGGTCAGAAGAGCTGGGAGCGCTTGTTGCACCTCCACTTTCCAGAAAGTAGCGTGGCCGCCTCTCACTCACATGGCAAGCTCGGAGCTTCAGCTTCTGGAGGTCAGTGGCAACGTCA